TACTATTATTATTACTATTATTGTTGTTGTTGTATAACATGGTCGCCATTCACCGCCTCTATTACCGCCACTGGCGATATAATAATATTAACTTACCGTTTTACGAGTCCCAAAACGTTTTCTGCTCGGTAATAATAATAATAAGTAATAACTGAGTTTTAGAACACCTATGCCACTATAACTGTATGAATTATGGGTACGTGCTAAAATATGGCACACAGTTTTCTTGTGTTTGACAAACAAAGCGCGTTATCTAATCGTGTACACTACAGTTAGGTTGTATAAAGTATGATAATATATTACTAAATAGCAGTAAATATATTAAATAATATAATTAATTAATATATTTATCCTCTTCATCGTACCTGTTGGACGATTGATTTTTTTTGTGTGACTATTTTGTGTGTGTTGACTGTCCAGTTCAACGTTGACAATACAATCTAAATGTCTGTGAAATATTTTCACCGTTACTCAAAATAATTATACAAGATGTATTGTTGGGTTTCGGATAGCTCGATATGGTATTTGAATATAAAACCTCCCAGTGAAGATATTTTAGAGGCCATCATAATATAATATAACCATCGTAGTTTATTATGTTATGTAGGTAATTTAAAAATACCTTTACTGTTTGTCTGTTTAGGTTTGGCTCACCATTAAGTCTAAAATGTTTTTTTTTCAACGTTGTGAACCTATATATAAAGGTGTTCGTCTATAGATTTAGTTTTTATATTTTGAGCGAAATTAAGATAGATATAACTACTCCTATGTCTATTACAAGTAATTTATGTTAATTTTTCTTAGGTGAGGTTGGGTTAGGTTATAATTTATAAGACTTCATCAGTTCACTCTCGAAAGCCGTGGACGATCATGACTTCCCGGCCTGAAATATATTTCAGACCGTCCCTAGGGCCTGCCTGATTCCTAAAAATTTAGCTGTTTTGTTGTATATTATGTGCATATTATGTTCGACATCGAAAAATTCGTTAGTCTCGAGGATACGCGTCTACGAAATTGAAAAATGTAAGAAATATGCCCCATCATTATTTGGGTCGAATACTCGAATCGCAATATTGTTTGTACCTGGAATGGAGGAGTTTGGAATTCGAATTTGGTACATAACCTCAATTCTCGGAACATTCGACACTCTAGGTCGAGGAAACCGACCTGTTATACAACGCAGATTTGGACGATTTGTAGTCGCTACGGCGACTGTGAAGAAGACAAGACAAAGACGAGACGTGTGCCATAGTGCGGTAGGCTCATCCACTCGTAATATCATGCCTAATCCCCGAAACAAGTGGTCCGTACTTCGTAATCTTAGTGTCTCGAGTCGCTGCTATTGGCCATACAGTTTTATGTGTCCGTGGTGGTGTGCCTGTACGGTTATAATATAATTTTATCATTTATCACCAAATAGCATAAGCAGGCAGAAGTATTTTGTAATTTGTATTTTAAAAGTAATAATAACTGTTCACCTATATTCTACAATAGCCAGTTGGGAGCACAAGAGCCAAACATTCGCAGCACAGTGTAAGTAGGTATGTAGTATAATACGATGCAGAATAATAATACTAAATAGGTGTATAAATATTAATTTTTTTCGATGGTAGGTCGCAGACGGAGTGTTTGTGTACGATTTCACTAATGGTCTTTTTTAGTTTCGTTTGTTGGTGATTTTATTACGGTGGGTTTACCGTTTTTTATTAATGTCGTTTTGGGCGTTTGTTAATGATGTATATTACATTTCGGGGCTGTTGGTTGATGGTAGGTGAAAACAAATATACCTGCAGGCAATAACAATAATTACTAATCTTTAATTAAACTAGAGGAGTCGCCGCGAGATCGTTCTTGGGTGGGTAGATACAGACCAACCGGAAAACCGCGATTTTCCTGACGAGCCCACGTCCGTATTTGCATGCATTTTGGTCATTGCGGCAAAATGAATATTGCTTGACGGTAGACGGGTAGAATAGTAATATATGTATGTTTGTTCATTTATTGGTCGTATGAATTATATAGTAATTATATAGCTCTACGACAGGGTTGACAAAACTTTTTTTTGATTAAGATCTATTGAGGGTATATATTTTTGATTTTAAGATCGACTAATGTAAAAAAAATATTTTATATTAAAAATAAACATTAAACATACTATTATAGACAATCAACTAAAAGTGTTAAGTTATCTAAAATGAGGGTTTCATATTAAATTTCTAAATCATCAAAAAGTATTGCTCGGTACCTCTATTCAAGCTTTTACCACTTTCATGTGAGAAAATGCCATTTCACAATAACAGGTTTATCCGAAATATATATTTAACAATTGCGTCCACTAAATGACAATAATTAATAAATTCGAACTAGTCTTAGAAATCGTCCAAGATCGACCAACCGGTCGCGATCGACTGTTTGGCCACCCCTGCAGTTTACGATATAATAATATGTGCGAGCGTAATATTATTATATTTTTGAAAATAAAGATTAAATCCTGAGTTATATTCTTTGTTACCGCTTTGAGTAGTTGTAGGATATAAAACAAAAAAAAATTATTTCTTATCGGCCTGTCGCTGTCACCACCAACAACAACGGCCATGGCCGACGAGAATGGTATGTGTTGTTTGTTGTTGTGTACCTACTTATTTTTTTTTTACAATAATCTGAAGAATATTTCATTAATATTTGGTATACATCTAGAAGGCTTTGAATAGTCAATAGACAACAATAATCAAGCGACTTCGGATTTCTATTTATCAATTTAATTTAAGTACATACACTAAAATATTAACATATTAAATCATATCCTATATAACGTTTTTTGAAGTGTTTAGGTACTTAAAACAATTTTTTAATGAAACAAAATGGTGGATTGAGTTACCGACCAGGTTTTACGTTTAATTGTATTACCTACTATAATTTATTGTTTTACTTAAATTTATATTACTTAAAAATCCAACCATATTTAAACTGGTGTGCCGAGTTCAAATCCAAACGGATTTAAAAGACCGGTTTTCACAAAAAGAAAGATTAAAGATGAACATTAAATATATAAAATAGTTTTTAAGCAGTATAATACAATGTTCATAATAATATGTATTGTTGTTACCAACAAAACTGCAAGTAATTTATAAAAAATCTTATATTTTCATCATGACGGATTACCAGAATTTAGGTTAAAATTAAGAAAAAAAACCACTTATTAAAAAAATTATTCGTTTAATGATCGCACGATAGTTTTTTTACAATATTTTATTTTAACGCGAGATATAGGTATACTTGTATACATGCCGGTGGTTCGTTTTTTCAATGTTTTATATTTTGAGTTCAAATGAAAATATACAAATTTTGATTTTGAAAAATATGCTATAGGTACCTGGTACCTATAATATCATACAGCAATATAATGTAAACATTGCATTGAGTTTTATTTAAGTTTTAGAGCAAAATGAGTAATGGATCAGTTGTACAATGATGTTTTTTGGGTGATATATATTGTAAAGGATAGGGACATATTATATATATAGACATATTATAGTACACCCATAAACCAACATTACCCAACGGCACCGCCTGGGTAAAACATTTGGGACGGGTAGAAAATGACTAGAATACTTCTTATCTAGGTACCTTCAAAATAAATAACTTAAAACTTTAATATCTCTTTATTTTTATATGAAAACTTTATAATTTTTTCAACCCCAGTTTATTTAACTTTTTTTATTTATAGTGTCGATAAGACTAATAAGTAATAACTGAAGTCACGGGAATGCATCAATATGAAGGTTGATAAAATAACTAAAAAGCCTATTTTAATAAATACAATTAACTAATCTAGCTGTATATAAATTAAACTATTTTTAAAGTGTTGATAAAAATGTTTAGGCTCCTTAAAAAGCTTGAAATTGTATACAAGATCCTCATAAGTAGTTCTTTTAACAATTTAAAACATTTAAACACAAGGGTACGATTTTTTTATTACCGTTTGAAGTTCGTTTTGACAAAACTGGTCAAAATCAGGAAAATGTTCAGTTTTTAAAGTTTAGGCTTGGAAATTTAATTCAAGGTGTCTCATAATATAGTAGTTAATTTTGAAACCAAAAAAAAAATTTTTAAAAATACATAAGCACCACAATTGTATTTATGGATATTTATAAAAATACAATTTGGACAAAATTAGATATTTAACGAAGAAATACGCTATTTTAGTTATTTTGTTGTAGTTCAAAAATATTATTCGTGGGAACCCATTAGCGTGGTGAGCGATAATTCCAAATATAATTGCCTCTGAGATTAGAAGGATGCCGTGTAACTGGTGGATCCTCTAGTAAATTTAATATGATATTCTCATTTTCTCAATAGGTATAGCCAAGAATTGAAACATAACTAGGTCTTAATATATTATATTATTATGCATTAATACTTGGGATATCTGCAGTTACTCGCGTTTGGAAAATGTTCAGTCCACCACACCACTGTGGGGGCTTGAAAGTATTTTATTATATTTTATAAACACAATGATATATTTAAAACATCTACATTCATTTTAAGGCATGTATTGCCTATTTATACCAAAAATCTATTCACACCGTTCTACGGTAAGTCGATATTGACTCAAAAGTCAAAAGTGAATAACAATAATATAATATGTTAGAAATATAATATATGTACCTACTTTTATAATAATTAAATACCTTCTAATAATATTATTATATAAATGCAATATGTTTTCTCCAAAAAATTTAACTCGCCTTATCACTAGTAGTAAAATAAATAACTATAAAATTAATTTAAATATATTATAAAATATACCTACTCATTGTAGATAATATAGATCAACAGTCTTTGCTCAGAATCTTTGCTCATATAGGTACATTACAGTGATTTTCCCAATGACAATGTACACTCGACACCTGCACTGTACAACAAACAATGAACTATACTTTCCTCTTTTTGAAAATTTATTTTTTCTAATTATAGTTAAAGAATAAAAAGGTATCATAATGTTTCGCTCTATCAACAAGTTATCAACACATTTGAACAACCGTTACGTTATGGGAACTCTATCCAGAGGTATAGCTGAAAAACGTTCTAGTATGGAAGAGTATTTCAAAGACAAGAGCTTCATAGTGACTGGAGCAAGTGCTGGTAAATACTAAATTATTATATTTAAATAAACGGTATATTATTTTAGTTCTATAATTTATGTTTAGATTTTTTTATATCGACCTGAAATTTTCCAGTTTTATTGAATGATTATATTATACTTTTTACATTTTGTTTTTAAATATAGTAATTCGTTTAATTTAATTTTTTATTATTTAGAATTTAAATTATCAGAGTTACCTTTTATGTGTATACCTATAAGTAAAGTCGTATTTATATTTTTAAATTCATGGCGATTGACGAGTTAACAAAATATGGGCCTACGTGCTATGTGCATACTAACGTGATCAAACTTTGTAATATGTACACTAATACGTACACGGTACACGGTACACATAACGACGCGCCTATATATACTGTGTGTTATTTAAGCCTATCTTGTAACAACAAATCCTCCTGGTCGGTTTATCGGTCATCTTTAATTCTTTAACACCGGGATGGCGAGACATATAGTAGTTTCACATAGTTGTATTCACAACCGCCAACCACGTTAATACTTTCCATAGCCTAGTGGCCTATATTATACTTTTTATGGCAGTCAGAAACATTTTACACAGTAATATTGTACCTATTTAATTCGATACAAATCTCTAGCTTTATAGTTCCACGCGGCTGTTTCATTATTGTTTGTGTGTTTTATTAACGCTTTTTACATTTACACTGGCCTATTTACACATTATAAAAAACCTATTACAATCGAATTCATTATCTTATATTTTTCAATAAAATAAAAAATAATATAATTTTGAACCTATGATAAATTATTTTGTTAACTATAGGTATGGGAAAAGTGATTGCTGGAAGATTGTTAGCTATGGACGCGCACGTATTCGCAGTCGGAAGAGATATAGATAGTCTACCGAGTGTTCCTGGCCTAAAACTGACCAAAGTAACCGTGGATATTGGTGACTGGGATTCGACATATAGTAAGATCTTAGAAATGGGGCCCGTCCACGGTTTAGTCAACAACGCCGGAGTGGCTCACATCGAACCATTTATGGATACGACACAACAAGGATGGGATGAGTACGATTACAGATTAACTTTTTAAAGGTGGAAAAAGGGAATTAGTAGCTGCGATAATAGTGACGCGTACCTATGAAATAAGAAAATAAGTGATAAGTTATTCGCATATTCATATTACCAAAATAAATGTCAAAATAGGTAGCAATTTTCAAATTGTTATCGTTTCTCCACATAGAAGGGAATAAGCTATAAAGAAGGATGATGATTTTAACGCGCATACGCTCCAAGAGCAAATTAAATTTAAATGTAGCACTAAACATATTTTAAGCTTTTTGTTTATAGCATTTTCAATTTTGTGTATGATAGTTATATTTTTGGGTCTTTTATTTAATTTTAAAGACAATTTATGTTTTGAAGTCTGTGATCAGACACGGAATATTTTATTGGAAAAGAAAATACAGTAATACATATTACAATTAAATACTGGACGTATAGTTAATTATTTATGTTTTGATAAGTATTGTGGAGTTTAAAAATACCAAAACAATTAAAAATATCTGTGCATGTAATGCACAGAATTATCCTCTTAATGCAACTTTAACCTTATATAAAAATCCAGGAAAATATAATACTCATTCCGGGTTGCATAAACAATCACTAAATATTTAGCTACTTAACGAAATATGTATCAATAATGAGTTAATGATACCTTAAACATGATTGGTCTATTCAATTTTATTGAACCATTAAATTAATCAATTTTTTTTTTGAACCAGTAATAGGTATGTGCATATTATAAAATTAAATTAAATTAGGCAGTGCTAAAAACACTAGTTTCGCACTCATTAGTGCCTAGTATCTACCTACTATTGTATTGGTTCAATCTACAAACATCCTAGCTCTAAAGTAGTTAGGTGCCTAAAGTATCATCTATTGAGTTATTTATAACCATTATTCTATTATTATTCTAGTATATTATTTTTAAAATTTAAAAGGTATAAATGTATAATTGTATTAATACATTTATTAATTAATAATATAAATTATATTTTGGTTTCTAGTACATTAAACATAAATTCCAGAGGAGTGGTAAGGGCAAGTCAAGCTGTAGCTAAAAATATGATTGCTGCAAAAATCAATGGATCAATAGTGAATATATCCTCAACCATATCTGAGGTTATTACTTGTTGATAATAATTTGTACTATTTTATGTTTATCATATACTTATGTATAGCTTATAATTTATGAACATATTAGATTAAAATTGCTTAAACTTTACGTTGCCATTTATAATATAGTTGTGAGAACCAACTAGTTAATTCAGAAAACCTTTTCTTGACATTTTTCATGGTAAAAATAGTATGGTTACAATTAAAAAATAACATTTTTACTGTTTAGAGAGCAATACCAGATCATGTAGCATATTGTGCATCTAAAGGAGCTGTGAACCAAATAACAAGGACAATGGCCGTAGAATTAGGACCTCTGGGCATAAGAACAAACAATGTTAATCCTACTGTTGTATTGACCAAGATGGGGTTGATAGCGTGGTCTGATCCGAAAAAATCAGAACCGATTATGAAGAGAATACCATTAGGAAGATTTGCACGTTAGTGAAAATATTTACATATTTGTTCACAATTGTGTGTTATTATTGTTGAACTATATTGTTATTGTAATGTGTTGTAGGTAGATATTATATAGTAATTACTAATTAACAATTTATTTTCTAGAGCCTAATGATATTGCTGATGCAGTGATATTTCTATTAAGCGACTATTCAAAAATGATAAATGGTATGAACCTATACGTAGATGGCGGTTTTATGACTGGATAAGTATTTCCATACTTTATATTGATGTTGAGACTTGAGAGTAATAAAATAATCATTATGAAATATACAATTATACAATAAAATCTATATGAATAAATTGTAATAATATTATGTACCTATACGTTTTGTTGTATTTATGCATTTCATTTATCTAGGTATTTATTAATCCTTATAAGTTATAAGTTATAAGGGTGACTTACTATGAATTGAATATTTTAAATTCGTACAACTATATTGTTCTCATTATGGAATCATGTTTAAAACAAATATTTAACAAAACAATTCACTTAAGCATATTGAAAATCGACAACCACTAGATTTATCAAAGATTAATATAAGTTATATTTTATTTTTTACAAAAATTAATGAATACCATTTTATGAGTGTATGAAATGATTATTGATTTGAATTGGTTTTTTTTTTGTTTAAAAGTCTGATAAGGTGAATAATTTCATCCCTAAATAAATGGTCAGAATATGGTTCCTATTTTATTATGTTATGACTTGTGAATAATTATTGGAGCTATAAAACTTTAGTAAATAGTTTTTAATATTTTAATCAGAACTCATAATTACCTATTTACTCGATCAATATTTTAGCAACTGTCGTCATCTCTTACAAGCTACAAAAAAATGTAATTATTAAATCTGATAATATTGTAATGATAGGGGCGTGTCCTTTTTATTTTATTAACACAAATTAGTTATTTACCTGTACTTTTTATTTATTTTTGTAATTTATCATACTCCTGATTATATGACTGCCTACGATATGTATCCTTGCATTAGTACCTAACGAATTTATAAACTATACATATATTTTATTTATATACCTTTTACAGTATTTCTTTATTCTGAAAATCCAAAAATAAAGATCGTAAATAGTTTGTATCTTTTGCCGATGAACATTTTTCTCATTTGTATGAGACTAACAATCAAACTTTGGCACTCTATTTTGCATTTAAAACATTGGGACTTGGGATACTTTAACACAAAAAAGTAAAAACGAATTTGAATAGGTAAGATGATTTGTATCAAAACGTTCTACAGTCGTTAAATTATAAAAATGTTGTTAGCCGATTACTGATTTTAAAATTGTAATATTATTAAAACAAAATGAATTGTTGAAAACACTGCATATACGTTTGCACCAAATTGGCATATTCGACTAGTAGCATGAAATATCACGCTGTTTAATGTCTCACCACAGTGGAAAAAACTTAGTTACTTATTATTAATTAAACTGAAACATATAGGTACTTGATCAACGTACGCCAGTTTTTCTCTCAATATTTTAGTTTTAATACAATAATATAATGAGTTCAGATGTTCAATAGTTCATGACGTTATAGCGTATTACACGATCGTATGTTGTGAATTGAGTAGGTACAAATTGATAAAGTAGGTAGCTTTATCAACTTAAATATTGAATGTATTGTATTTCGGGAAATCATTGATATAAATATATAATATTATAATGATACCTGTCAGTGTATAAAAATAAATTGAATTTAAAAGAAAAAAATTAGCATATTATTATTATCTTCAGTTTGGTAGGTAGGTACACGTCATAGTTCTATTTCTAGAATTGTATGATAAAAAGCACTGATACAACGATGCATAGTTTATAGAAATAAAAATATTTTTATCAGTATTATTTTGTTGTAATAAATATATACGTAAAAGTATCAAGTGTTTGTGATGAAGACGTACCTACTTCATATAGATTATAGAGTATGGACTAACTAGCTATAATCTATATAATATACCTACCTACTTTATTCAGAGGTAGGTAGGTGTATAATAATAATATGGTTATAATATATTACGTTAATTAAACATTGTAAATAGATTTCAAATCTCGCCGTCAACTTCCAGACGAGTGCGAATCACGTCTAAAATGACAACCGTAAAAAACTTGAACATTTTCAGTTGCAACTAATTACGGTGTATACTTATAGGTATATATTATGTTATTAGTCAAGATGAATTTGCCGCCTGACAAACGAATGTTATATAACAAAAAAAAGAAGATTTTTCTACCACTCTGTACAACAATCACACGTTTTAATCTCAATATGAACTCTTGATATTGTTTTATTTAATTACCCATCAAATAAATAGTTCACACCTAATAAATATAAGGTTATACTTCAAAATTAAACATTTCATTTAGGTAACGTCTAGTCAACGTACAAGACTTGTGTAGTATAACAAATTCTCGTAGTTCAATACATTTTTTTTTTCATTTGAATTAATTATTAGTTATTTTATTTTTGTAAAATACATATTATAATATATAAATACAACTTAATAATATACGTATTATACTATTTTATAAATAATAAAATAATATATTATACTATATACCAGATACGATACTTATACTTGCATCTTAACTATTAAATAATTCAATATTGGCATTAAGCTCGCCATTTTAAACAAAAATCATTAAATAATTTACCTTTAAAATAAAAACAAAATGACCCGAATGAAAACTTTGTGCGCTATGGAATCATTGGTAGAAGGCGTCCCACAAGTTAATTTCGTCATCTGTCCAGCCGTGATTGATGACTGCGACCAAATCTACGAATTAGTACAAGTAAGACTGTTCAGTTATTATTTCACATTGTATTAGTAATATTATAATGTAATTAAAAAAACATACTATACGTCTTATACCGTTTTACCACTTTGGGTACCTAGCTATATAATATTTAACCTAGATATAGGATACTGTGTTGATTAACATAAGATACATTTTATTTGACTCTATATGTGGATTGTGGGTAGGTAGATAATTTTTAATCGTGTTTGATAATTGATTTGAAACTAGAACTCCCAACTATATTCTATATTTTATTCACACGAAAGTTGATACATAATAAAATTATATTAATTGACTAAAATTTAAAAATAAAAACAATTCCTTTAACTTTTAAATTAATTATAATATTCTACTTATTATTATCATTTTTATTATATTATACGGATGGTACCAATGGCGCGGGCGTTAGTTTATAGGTAATCCATGTTTTAAAAATATGTATCATTTTTGTTTGTTATTTATAATTTAAAAATAATACTAATAGCCAATAGGCAATAGCCAATAGCCTTCTAAACAGTACTTATCCATTTTAATTCTGAATATTTGGTATATATTTTTTGAATATCTTGTTTTGTAAATTTTAGTCATTGATTAGTTTGTAAGGTCCAAGATACAAAAAAGTGAATACTAAATTGTTACTTAGTAGTCTGGTCGTCTGGATAGTATATTATGTTAGGTACTTATGTGACATAAGAGTTTTGAAGTGTAATTAATAAAAATGGGGGGATGGTCACTCAGCCCGTGTTTCGTTTTATCGATTTCGTTACGATGGAAATAATATTTGTCCATTTGGTGAGGTCCTACGATGAATGTCGTAACTTATTATTCATTATGAAACACTCGCAATTCGTTTCGTCACTGTATACCTAATTAATAATATTATTAACATCAAGAGTCCCCTAACAATATACATTTTTAGTGATAAAATGTAAAATGCAAGTGAAAGTCAGTAGCCACCCCAAAATGTCTTCTTGACATTTCAGTCACGTCTGTCTGCGGTTAAGTCACCGATTCTGGGTTCGCAACCCCACCCATACGTCATACAAGGTGTCAAGGTGATTATCTTAAAGGTTACTCATATTTCCTCGGAAATAATTAAGTTTATTTCTGAAATTTCTGAAATTTCACATAATATTATGAAGAAGTCATTAAATACTAAATATTATGTAAGTTCAACAAAAAAATATATTTTTACCTTTTTATGGTTTTTATTTTTTTGAACGACAGCAAAATAATATATAATTTCATATTTCGAATCAAAATGTTTTCCAGGAATTTCAATTCTTAAATGTCTTGGTTGGATTTTGAACGAATAGTTAATTAGGTAGTTATCCGTATAATAATAATATGTAGGTCGGAGGTGCATGCGACCGATATTCGATAGATTAGGTATTCGTTATTATTATACAAAGTTAGGTATAGTGTATACCGTATACATATTTATAATTCAAATGATAATCTGTAAATATAAATCCGTTGTGCGTTCTATACAATCTGCTTACGAAGATAATCAAAAGCGCCCGAACATATTGTATTCGTACATTGAGAATACGGTATAATATTGAACTTGGCCCCGCGGGTTATTGGGCCGGATTCGAATAATTGTTGGCATTTGACACGGCGCGCGTGTACCGTGGGTACCTATATACCTGTTGCAGCTCACGTGAAAAGCCTATCATTCCGTAGGCAGTACGCATACCTATAAGCTTCCATATTATAATAGGTAGATAATAAAATATACGAGGACACCTATCGCATCTACGGTGTACCTATATATAAATTGTAATTATCATAATATTGTACGACGTCCATAGATTTAATATTTATTTAGTGATTGAGTGATTGCGAGTGCACGACTTCAACACGTGTTTCCTATCCGCTATCGGCTTATCGGCTACAGCGGCCAAACGCGAAAAGCTATGATCACGCGTAGAAAATATAACCGACTAACGATTATCGCCCCGTTACGTGATGTCATTGAAAGGACGTCGTACCCGCAGTCCGCACGGCGCGTATTGTCTGCGTCTTGCTAATTACGCATACCTAACATAATAACATATAGGTAATAATATATGTATATATGTACCAACATGTATACGTCGAGCGGTTCCAATTGTGTGTTTTGGGCTTAAAAATTAGAAAGAATTTACTTATTATCAAACCTAGAGGTGAGAACATAATAATATTATCGGATAACACTGAATTGAGTCACGCAAATACTTTTGGGTTATCGGAGTTGAGTCCGACCAATATTGTTAGGTTGATTCGAGTTGAGTCCCTTCAGCCTATTAGCGTTACCCAGGACACACCACGTGGAGGTTGACTGAGTAATCTCCCAAAAAATGTGTGTGATTGTATAGACTGGTTTTTTTATTAATCGTAATAATAATAATAAGTATAAAGAGTCAATTAATTAAATAATAATAATTATGTGTAGTATAATGTGTCATGTCAAAGGTATCACCACCAGCTAATAGGTAGTTATGACATTTTATCTATACAGACTCAATTCAAACACATAAAAGTAGCATGAACTAAATTCAATATCACCGATATTATCTGTGTGCTCTTGTTGGTTTTTGTTCGTACGTCGAAATACTTAGGTAGTAATTATAGTATTATCCAGTTACATAATATATCCGGATATTATCCCTCCGACCATCCGTATAATTGCTTATGCTACTGGTTGCTAGCGCAAAGTTACGATTGTTGATTTGGAGACAGATATAGTTTTCCTAACATTATTATAGTTATTATTATTATACGATGTAGTTTTACAATGGCCCTTTATTTTGAGGCGATTTAGAAATATGTAAAATATTAATATTAAAAAATAAAAAACTCACGAGTCACTTAAATTTAGAATATTGTATACAACTGACGTCTGACGGATAATGTTCTTAGGTTTCTGTACCTTTAAGTTCAATAATAGGTAAATATTCACTCACTCTAATATTAAAGCTAACAACACGAAATTAGTTCGGTTGAACACTCATTTTCTGTGATAGGTAATCATTATTACTGTAAAACAGAGGCAACCCGTGTGGATGTAGGTGTAAGTGTGTGACGGTCTTTTAAGAGAGTTTGTCTCATTGTCTAAACCTATAATTTTTTTCTCTTCCGTGTACACACGTAGAATATTATAGTAAACAATAAACACTAATAACCTCTCTCCGTATTTCACTCGTATTGTCGGAGGGGGAAGATAATAATCATAATTATTATTATTATGATTTATAACAAGCAAATAAATACATAACACCATGATAGCAGGTACCTAGTACCTACCAAACATACGAATTTGATATATTACGTAGTTACTACTAGAATTGTGAGAAACTTTGTACCGATAATTTTCAGAGGTAAAATCACGTTCACACAAGACGGACAGCACTACATTAGATTGCAGTGGTTTTAGGGTAAAAACGCTTTTTATGAAATTTACCTATAAGTGCACAAAACAATAATTGAGAGACAACCTCATCGATGTTTTTGAAATGTTAACTACTAAAAAAGTTACCTAGTTATTTGAAAATGTAAAAAAATTAATTGATGTGCCTTATATAACGATCTATATAAGTAGTATATATTTGTATGTTCGCAGTCTTTTCCACGGTAACAAAATTTTTTCAAGCTGGAATATCCCGCTTAGAGCACTCCGATTTACCATGTAACACAATATAGAGATTACACACTGATTATCCACCAAATTTAGCCTCACACAAAAATATTACCAAATATACCAAATTTTTTACCAAACCTCATTGTAAAAAAAAATCTATTACATATTTCATAATTTGTGTTCTTTACTTGAAATAATTACTTCAGTTTTACAATAAGGTTAGGTGAAAAAAATGGTGTACCTACGGCAAATATTTTTGTGTGACAAATTTGGTGGACAATCAATGTGTAATCTCAGTATTGTGTTACACGGTAAATCGGAATGCTCTACGGGGGACATTCCCTCTTGAAAAATGTTTATTACCATGGAAAAGATGGCTGTAAACATACAAATATATACTAACTACTTATATATTTAGAATATTAAAATACCCTGATAAATTGCACGATAAATGTGTTTACAGGTTTACTCTAAAACCACTATTTTAGATTCTGAGAGGAGAGATGAATGTATTGATTTTACAATGATATGTTTTTTCTTTGTGATCTTTGTACAAGAAAAGTAGTTGAAATAATGCTTGGATTTTCAACTTCAATATCTTGTTCGATGGGAAAGTGAATCAAGTTGGGGAGGTCAACATTTTAAAGCACCAGGAAAAACAAAATAAATTAAAGTAAACGGGCATTTTTACGCAAAATCGGTTTTCGACAAAATAGATTTTGGTTTTTGGTGTAAATCTAAAACAAATTACATTAGATACATGAAATTTTCACTGAATGTATATATTAGCATTTCCTATACACCATAAAATGTTCAAAATATTTTAACTTGTTTTGAAATGTTTACGGAAATTTTTAGTTTCCAGGTGAACATTATTTTGAGTTATAAATTCATAAAAATGTTTCTTTTTAAATCTAAGATTTGAAAATTTAATACAAGATTTCTCATAAGTTTGTCTTCTTATATTTCAAAAAAAATGTCTACCGGAAAGTCAAATGAAATTTTTATGAGCGTTTGAAATTCAAATTTTTACAACATTGGTTGCTGGCATGCAATACACTATTACAGTAAACTACGAAAGATCCAATCGTGACAGCTATAATAATATCATGATGGTATATATAACATAACTATAACTGTATAACATAAATGTAATTATAGGACATTGAATTGAGGGCTTGAGTCTTACCAAAAATATTTTGTTCGTATAATTATAAAGTAATAACGTTATTAGGGTACCCATTATAAGTATTTAAAAACGAATATAATCTGGATAATAAGGTTAGGTTTCTCCACTGATAGAAGACACCCACCACTACCCACCACTCACCACTTATCCCTACAGTGAAATTTGTGATAAAAGTAATCGATGATCAAATTAATTTCAAATTTCAACCATGATATTATCATTTTTCACTTTATAGAAAATTTAAATTATATAGATAGATACCTACACTGTGGGCAGCTAACGTACAGCAAACATCCCTCCCGGGAGCTCCCTTAATATATTGATGAAAATGTGTATTCTCAAACCACCCCTGAGGTAAAAGATATTATAAAAACAACCAATACACACGAGTCAGAAACGGTCGGTGGTATTTGTCAAAATCATTATAATCGAGTACTGACGTACCGAGTATGTATATTTTTTTGAATATCACGAACCTTCCTATATATGATATAATTACCAATACCTACCTATATGATATAATTTATAAGTTGTTGTTTAAAGAAGACACTCATTAGTCGTTGATAGTGGCCGTAGTTTACCTATTTATAGGTAGGTATACGTATACCAGCTACTTGCCAAATTATAATCTAGTGCGACAGTATTATTGACTACTGCTGTGCTATTCACAAATAGGTACAATTTTTAATTTTAATCTCTAAGTACGAATTATAACTAACAATACACGTACAACACCAATTTGAAGTGGTTTATTATGCTATATTATCCACTCTAACTATAAAGTGGTGTAAAAATATAAATGTAAAAAAATGTGTTATTATTGTACCTACACAATCTGTTGCGGGTCACTTGAAATGTGGGAGTGGTTCTGCGTGATCTACATACTTATGTTTACTAAAATAATAATAGTTCAATAAATTAATGGCTTTCCATTTATATCTAAATGACACCTATATGGCTATATACCTATATTATAATAATATATAGTGCTCGAAGTGGCTCAAAATAAGTGTAGGGATGGAAAATGTACATTTTAAAATACAGTAAGAGACCTCCCTCCCACATTGGTCACTGTATACTATATTGTACAATGTACATATTGTGCAATGTGCATAATATTACCTTGATTTTTATTATCTAAACCTAATTATTTTTCGTTTTTTAGGAATACTATTCCGAATACGGTATACCGAGTAGCAGACAGTTGAACAAAGACAGTGAGTGATATTTTAATACTAAAATTCAAATTATGTGGGTAGGTAGACGTTATAATACAGTTGCAGACATAACAGTATGCATTTCACCATTTACACCTACTAGATATGTACAGGTAGATAACCGATTTGGATTTTCTTCTATATTTTATAAAATTCCCCACGAAGAGCCGAGTACCAGAATTGTAAGTCTCTACTCTCTAGTATAGGCTTGTTATTTAGAACAATTTTGTCCAAAAGTAATTGTCTAAGAAGTTTCTGGTCCAACAGTTTCCCCCATATAAGTACATATTAGGTATAGAAAAATGCCTTAAAAATTAGTTTTGAGTACATTTAAACTCGCATGTCTGATCATTGCTACACATGCATAATGCATATTATATATCATTATAGCGAAATGTTTGTACACGCCTATAATCTCAACTCTCTACTAAATAACAATAGTCAATACCTTTTTTCAGTGACACACTGGAACCGAGCCCTTAATTGTGATGTAGTGAAAGTGTAAATGTAAGAAGTAAATCAACAAATATTAGGTATTATTACCCAGTTTTAAATTTTTTTTTAAGAAAAATGTGATTTCATTATTTCAAATTTCAATACTTACGATGTCAACTTTACAACAAATTCTAATCCGTTTTTCTAAACCTTCGTAGAGTAAAAATGAATACTTGCTCTTGGTAGGTAATTACGAAGAAACTAATTCCAAGCTCCGATCCTCGCGAAATGAATAAACAAATTAATTATGTCCATAAATAATAATATTACATACACCTATGTTTAACGATCAATGAAAATAAATAATTAATTATAACATATTATATTAACACTATTATAATATTACCTATGTATTTGCAGCATTCAAGAGGGATGGATTTGAATCTCAAAATCCAAGTTTCCAATGTTTTATAGCAAAAACAAGAAAAGAAGGTAATTTTTTTAATTTCAATTTTTTATTTACATTTGACATACAATTATCAATTTTTAGTAATTCTACAAACCTAAACTTAATTGAACCAAATCGAGATTTTCAAAATCATACTATACTCATATGTGGTGCCTAACTGCCTCTTTACCTTATTTTTCTTCAGCCTTCACCCTCAACTATCTGAGGTTGGCTACATTTGTCCTATTTTTTATTTTTTTTATTTTTAATATCGAAAGATTAATGGGCCTCACTGAGGAAAACTCGTGTGGAGGCCAAATAAACCTATACCTCCATATGGCTGTTCCTCCACCTCTCTTTTATTTTCCACAGCTGATATTTTCGTGTTTCTCTATTCTGTAAATTCATCTATTTTTCCGCGGCCTTCCTCTCCATCTATACATCCATAACCTCTCTCAGTACCTTCAAGTCAGCTCTCCTCATAATATGACCGAACCATCTGAACCTATTCTGCCTCGGTATGCCTATAATTGGTGCTGCCTCGCCCACGCTACCCCTAATGAATTAATCTCTTATTCTATCCTCCTTATAGTCACCCCGCAAATAATATATCCACCTTGGCGTTTTCCTATCAATTACATTCACCCTGTGTTCTGTTTTATTGTCCACTGCCCAACATTCATACAATACCACGACTAGCCTCACAATACCTACTACTTTATGAAATCTATCACATAATGTCAACGACATCATCTTGTCAGACAAAATACCCGAAGCTTTACTCCTCTACATCCATCAACATGTGGCCTGGGCCCAGGGGTACTTATACGGTATAAGTTATACCTAATCGCTGTAACATTAATATCCACAATTAGTGATGTAAATTTGTATAATACAAATGTATAATATCGTATTATACATGGTATATTATACACGCTGTATAGAATTATTTTATACAATGGTATAAAATCTGTACCTATAAAACTTTTTTTTTTGCTAAGTGGTTAAATTGTTGAAGACAATCATTAAGAAAATTGACAAATATAAATTTCTGTTAAATTTAAATATGTATCTATTATTTACAAAGAAAAAAAAGTATTAATTATTATTTTTTTTTTATACTAAACAGTTAATACTTAATTTACTTATTATTTAAAAAGGAAACTAAAGACTAAAATATTAAAATTGTCACTATTAAATACTAAGTATTAATATTTAGTATTTACTATTGTTAATTTTTTTACATTAAACATTTATTTTATTTATTATTTAGAAAAAAAACCAAAAGAGTAATTTATGTTTATTAAAATTGTTAATTATTACTATACTTGTTGACTTTGTTATTACTTTTGAATTTTATTTTTATTATTTTTATTATTTGCATTAATAAGATTCAATTTTCAAATGGGAAATGGACAATGGTTGAGTAATCGTGTTTAAATTGTATATGTAATTTCAAATTTGCATCTTTTATTACAGGATTTTATACCGTATAAAATGTGTACCTATAATACGGTATAATACAAAACATTATTATACCATACTTAAATACAACAGTATTGTACAAAGTTTAATAGGTACACGTAAAATACAAAAATAAAATAAAATACCGTATTTTAACATCACTATCCACAATACAGTGGTTTATGTGCTAGATACCTAAATACTTAATCGATGCTTTGTTTTTGTCGTATAGAAGACGTTATTTTCGGATTCGTACTGTGGTTTCGACCGTCCGAGAACACGACCGGCCAGCCAGTGTTCCTCGAAGCACTGTACGTGTCCAAACCTTACCGACAGAAACACGTCGAACAAGCACTCTTCGAGAAAACTATTCAAATCTATTGATTGGCGAAGGTGGACGAGATGCCGATCGCCCAGCCGCTGCGTCATAACCATACCGACTGTAATATTATGTACCCAACGACGAGCTCAATGCAAAATTTTGTACCTATCAATAGCAATAATAATAACAATAATATTATTACCATCGTCGTGTAATTGTATGATATTAAAAAAAAACCGTTACGTTATCGAGAAAATGCCAAATGACGGCGACTGGAAAACTGAAATGGACGAAAACAATATATAATATAATATTTTATTATATTCATATCGTTATAACTTATAATGTTTGTTGCGATTTTCGGTCGACTTCCGCTTAGAAGAAACTATAGCGGATTGGCAGAAGCCGGAAATAAGTGTCCTCTTGTGGGGCTCGTGTAAACGACTCGGACCGATCATCCCTCGCTACATGCCACTCTAAACGAAAAAACCGAACTTCGTCGATAAATTATTATTATTAGGTACCTATCTATCATTACGACGACGACACTGTGATCTTTGGGGTTATCGAGGCCCGCGACAAGCTGCTGCTGCACTCATGAAATTATATTAGTTCGCGCTCGCCAGGAGCACGCTGCGATCCGACGACACTTTTTAGATAAGATATTTTTAACGACAACACGTTCTTAATATCTGTAATAAACAATATAATAATATAATGGCACCACAGTTCGTCAAGTTCAGCGACCGATGAAATCGGAGTCTCTGTATACACGCTGCGCCCGATTCCCGCCACGTAATTTATATTATTACATCGATGGACCATGGACGACGGATCGCGCCAAACGTGTCAACCTATATCTCATATTATTTTTTTAATTGTTATTATTACTTATTGTGTTATTGATTGAAATCAGAACGTATAATATAAATAGATAACGAGGATGGCAGATGAGATCGAATCGTTTCATGTTTATTATTATTCATATGCATATTTTTTCAGCATTGGCGTAGCCAGTGTGTGTGTGTATGTGTGTGGTGGGGGGCAGGGTAGGTAATATTCAACACTCTCCTTGGTTATTACTTATTTATGAGGTATGCCCTATAACATAAGTAGTTTTGATCTAATATAACAAACTACTTCGAAATATACATATAGAATACCTCAATACTGACAACTTTCTACATATTGTGTACAAATGTTGTAAGTGTATAGTACATATTTAGTCTGCTAGAGGTCTGCGCGTTTGTTGTAGTGCATGTAATCTGCGTGATGTGAAATTACAATTGTCGTTCTCCTGAACAATTACAAAAATGTCACTTACAACATGTGTACACTATGCCATCGAATTATATTATTTAACTATACTGTTAGCGTGACAAGTGAGAGGTCATTTTCGACCTTAAAAAGGGCGCAACAGTAGATGGGTATTAAGTAAGTACAGAAGAGGGAATCAAAAAAAGTCACTGTAAAAAAATACTAGTTTTTATTTTAAATTTAAATAGTTGGTTATGTATACCTAAATAAATGAAGATAAAAAATGTATTCCCAATTTAAGTAAAATTACACTATGTCACTATATAGATTATAGGTGATAAGCCTATAACTGAAAATTGAAAAAAAAACACATTAACTCCGAAGATAAACGGGTAAAATCATAATCAACAGGAAGGTAGCGAGTTTCCCTCAGTAAAAATATGCCATCAAGACATAAATTGAACAAAATTAAAATGTTATATTGTATATCCCGTATATATTATGCAATAGTTGTTACCTTCAATATTAGTGATTTTAATTTTAAAATTTAAGAAATTCATAAAACATATTTATATCTAACTAGATATTAAATATTACAACAAGGTTAAAATATGTTGTTACAATTTACAATAAAATTAATTTATTAAACATCAAGTAGGTAACAATATAGTTAATTAATGGAGTTCTCTAATAATAAATTGTACAATATAGTCTATCCTAAAGTAGTAGGTATATGATATGGTGAAGTGAGGAGAGGTCTTGGCCAGTAGTATGTTATACAGTATGTCTTTACACCACAACTGTTTGAATCGGGCTAATTCTATTGTAATTTCAAGCCATGCGACACGTTTTCAGTATCAACGGCTGTACTTATTTGACAAGTCATAAGATTTACATAATATTAATACATGGTATGTTTGCAAGGACATTTATCAAATTGCAATATTTGTGTCAATAATTTTTATAGCAGAGTTATTAATTTATTATTATTATCATTGTATCCACAGACCACAAGAACAGATTTATGCGTGTTGTAAAAATATACATTTTATATTAATACATACTCAAGAGAAAAATTACTAAACTAAAACTATAATATAGTATGTAACATTTATCAATTATTATCTTATTATTTACCAATACAAAATTTGGAAAATATTTCGGTGAGTACTTCTTCAGTCGATACGTGTCCTGTAATTTTCCCTACATATAATGTTGCCTTACGCAAATGCTGTGCAGCAACATCAATGTTTTTGTCGGACTCAGACATATTAAGATATGTCTGAACATTATTCAATGCGTTTAAGAGACAATATCTGTGTCTTGCTTGACTACATCGAGGATGTTCGAAATTTGGATTTCCACATCTTAGCAAAATTAAAATTATAAATTATAATGAAATATGTACACTGTACTACTAAATCACAATGTACTTACAATTGTTGCAAACAATTTTCAAACGTCCTCATCATATCCATCAAACCTTCATTGACTTTACATGAACCAAAACACATGGTCCAATTAGAATTTTGTGATACTTTTTTAAGTTTAATAACTTGGTCGTCCGACAAATTGTCAATTTTATTCACATATACTAGACAATTATCACACCGCACTTTCAAATTTTCAACATGTTTTTGAAGCCACAAATCCATGTTGTCTACATCGAGGAGACATTGAGCATCAGTCACCAGAATCACCATGTCAGCACTTTCAGCCTGGACTTTAGATTTCTTTATTCCCAAGTCTTCAATCAAGTCTACAGTTTGTGAACGAATCCCTGCAGTGTCGATCAAAAGTACAGAGTAACCAGACACGTCTAGGGGAACCTGAATTGGATCTCTAGTTGTACCAGGCAATTCTGTTACTATAGCCGCTTCTCTGCTACCTATATGAATAAAAATGTTTGTTTTATCATATATTATAAGATCACCTAATTAACTAATATACATACACAAAGAATTCAAGAGGCTACTCTTTCCTGTGTTCGGTGCTCCGATTATTGCCACTTTTACTCCATCACGTAAAAGTTCACCTGACCTGTTGTCCATTAAGTGCATCTTTAAATGTAATATGTAAAATTAATTATACAGTTGGTTTATTACAATTTTTTAATTCACCTCAATCTCTTTAGCTAGTTTTTCTAGATTTTCTTTAACATTTGCCAACACCAGGTCTTCAATATTATCTGTTTCACTGAAATCTATATAAGCTTCAACATAAGCTAAATTCTAAAATTGTAGAAACTTTGATGTATTAGAATATTGCTAAGCGCATTTGTATAAATAACATGCTTCTAAAAGATATTGTCTCCAAGAACCGTAGAGTTGTCTCAAAGAACCTTCTAACTGCATCAGTGCTTGCTTTCTTTGAAGCTCAGTGTCAGCTTCTATAAGATCGGCCAAACCTTCTACTTCAGTTAAATCCATTTTGTTATTATAAAACGAACGTCTGGTGAATTCTCCTGTGAATAATAATAAAATTTAATTATGAATCTTGTGGTACAAAATATATAGCTTGGATTTTATAGCATATGCATTTTTTTTTTGTGATAGAAATCTAACTTTTATGCATAAATTTGTACCTATGTCATTCTAATTCAAATAAATTATTTTATGAAAATGTTTTTTTATTGCCATTTTGTAATTATTCCAATTGTGGCATTTTAATATGTTTATTAAAATCCTAGATATTTAAAAAACCTAGTTATGTATGATTGTAGGTTCAGCTCTTCTTAAAACTATAAGAACAATTAGGGGGATAGGTTTTAGTGGCTAAGCCCCCCCCCTCCTAAACATTTCCTATATTTTCGTAAAGCTTATTCAATATTATTAGTATAGAGTATACCTCATGAGCCCTCCAGCTCTCCCTCCTTCAGCTGTCCCTCAAATTTCAAACATTATTTGCGCCTATGTTTAAAATGAAATACGGATTAAGTAAGTTAATTATATAATTTAAGTTAATTTTTGTCATGCTATTTTTTTTCTTTTCAAACAATTGTATGGTTTTTTGCTATTTATTATTTTATTGTGATACAAAATCTGAGCTCTAGACCATACAATTTTACCGGGGTCGGCTGGTCGAAAATCTGGTAGCTTAGATAAACCTTGAAGAACTGAAGTGACAACAGCCCTACCACCGTGTACTTGAAATTCACAGCAATCTTCGCCAGTGAAACTTTTGGGGCCTAAGACATAACAAATTTAATTAAGTAAAAAAATATGTAGACATAATAATGCATTACCTGGAAACCACAGTAATAATCCATTGTCCAATTGTTCTTTAGTAGTTGGGTCTATAATTTTGTTCAAACAAGCTTTTCTAGGTTTTGGCAAATATTTTAAATGGGTCATATTTAATATAGCCTTAGATGTACATGGACCAGATACTCTGATTACAGCTACACCACATTTTCCAAGACCTATAATAAATTATGAATTTTAGACAAAAATGTATAGAACATATTTTACAATGAGTACATTCACAATTCCTCAGAAATTCAAAGTATCAAATACATTTAGCACTAAATGCATAACTGTTTTTTTTTTTTTTTTGGAAAGAAAAATCTAAGAAATCTTCTGACCTAATAAAAATAGGTATCTGTAAAGAAAAATAATGTATTTTGGAATGTATAAAATATATGAAATAATAGATACTGTCATAAAATTCCTTATAACTCCCTTATTATTAAAAGTAGAGATATTAAACATGTAATAAACTACCAACTTATTTTTATAATATCCATTATTCCAAAAATATTTTAAGGTATTGTTTAAAGAAAACTTCTCCAATCTTAAACATTTTTACTTTAGATAAACAGCATGGTTTTATGTTCGGTAGATCTAGGTACTATGACTACTAATCAATTATTTTGCAATAATATATTTTAAATGCATCTAATTTAAACTGTCAAGTGGACGTTATTTATACAGACTTTGCTAAAGCCTTTGAAAAGATTTATCATAAAATACTCGGCACAAAGTTGTACCAATCAGGTCTCTATGATGCTTTCTTTTCTTGGCTAGTCTCCTTTTTTTTTGGTCGAAAACATCACATGAAATTTAAAAAATTACTTCATATATGTACAATGTTACTTCAGGTGTTCCTGAGGGATCCTATTTGGCTCCTCTACAGGGTGATTCTTTTATCATTGAACACTCATTATTTCAAAAAGTATTAATGTTTAAGAAAATATTTTTTTACATAGTTTCAAGTTGTTAAAAAACAATATTTTTATTAAAAAATTAAATTTTTAAATATTTTTTATCCTTTAAATTTTTTAAGTTTTTTACTTTTTTGAATGACAACATGTAATTTTAATTTGATATTCAAAAACAGAATATTTTTCTGAGTATTTCGATACATAAAAATTGAATTTAGGGCAATTAGTTTATGAGTTATAAGTATTTAAAGTTTAGATGAGCGGAGTAGAGTGGTACGGGGTTACCCCGCGAAATGTTTGTCCACTACTCCGCTCATCTAAACTTTAAATACTTATAACTCATAAACTACTTGCCCTAAATTCAATTTTTATGTATTAAAATACTCAGAAAAATATTCTGTTTTTGAATATCAAATTAAAATTACATGTTGTCATTCAAAAAAGTAAAAAACTTAAAAAATTTAAAGGATAAAAAATATTTAAAAATTTAATTTTTTAATAAAAATATTGTTTTTTAACAACTTGAAACTATGTAAAAAAATATTTTCTTAAACATTAATACTTTTTGAAATAATGAGTGTTCAATGATAAAAGAATCACCCTGTATATCTTAGTAATCTATATAGTACCTCTCACAACATCATATTCTGTATATTGTTATTTTATGTTTCCACATACCAACTGTAATTTGACTATAAATTAACTACATAAATTAATTGATTAAATCAACAAAATGAAATATAATAAAATCACCGATTAAATATACAATTATTGTATATTATATGAATATGATCAATGGTAAAATATTATACCTATATTTAATAATAAAACAATTCCAAAATAAATATTGTATACAGATTATAAGGTAGGTACAATATTATCAACTTAATATCCATTCAACAAAGATCAAATAATTCAAAATGTAATAAATCAAAATTAAAATAGGTAATTAACTGAATAATGAAGATCATTTACCTGAAGAGAGTGCATAGATGGTTGACTTCTGCCTTGAATGTGTTACAGCAACATTGACTCCTAGCCGATAGAATTCCGCATTCATTGTGATAGCCGCCAAAAGGAAAGAAAATAATGATCATAAACTCCACAACAGTATGAACACAGAACAATGAATGAACAGCTTAAGAATTTAAATATTTTATAAAATCATTAAATCATTAAACATTTGAAACAATTTTCACATTTTCTCGACGGTCAAAGATTGCACATACTGGAAGTTTGGATTCTGGAATTCTGGAACTGGAGTCTGAAACTCAGGAAAATTGGAATACAAGGATTTATAGTGGATTTATATTTTTGTCAAACGTTGAAACGTTAATTAGTGATAATGCAGAGCCGGTGTACTCATAGATAATATATCACAGAATAACAGTAGGTAGTTGATAACGGCAGCGAAGCAGCGCCATTCATTGACCCGCGACGTAGAGAACATCATCTCTAGTCTCTACTGTCTCTACATCATGCATGGACCTATAAAGTTATAGATAGAATATTGATATAAAGTTATAAACTATATAACTTTAATTAAACTTAGTTTATAGGTCCATCGCGCCATTCCACATGCTGTGGACAAAACCGGGCACCTATAAAAATCACCAAATGGATTAAATTTACTATAGCTGTTTTTGTTGGGTTTCGTTAGGTTAGAGTGTTAGTCGTAGGTTAATCTTAGATCATATTATGACAAAATATATTAATATAATAATTGTATATGATCTAAGCATAGACATAATATTATGTATTTATGTCTATGGATCTATAATGGTTAAAATGGTTGAATCTAACCTAAGGCCACTATAACGGCATTGACCGGTATTATTATTTAGTTTTAAATTAATTCGATAACGGCAAAGCCATCAGCCACTACCTCATCATTTTTATCTCTAACTCGTGCGTGAAAAATAATCAGCTCTCACGGCTGCTAAATTTCCTAGCTATAATTTAGAAAGCACTTTCTTATACGGTTTACAATGATGCAGGGGATGTGGGTAAGCCTCCATCGGATTACATTTTAGGAAAATAGCCCCTACCCTCCCGAGGCCCAATGTTTGGGCTAGTTATGCCCAGTGGCGGATTTAACGGTTGTTTAGTCGGCAAATGCCAACGGGGCCCCCTCCTAAATTGTGCACTGAGGCCCACCTAAATTATAAAGTTGATTTTTTTTTAATTTTAACCAAAAAAAAAATGTATATTTCAAACTGGAATATAATTTACCATTGTTTTAATGATAAAATAGTTTAAATGTATAGGAATACTTCAAAAGTAGAAAATATTGTAATTAAATAAAGTAGAAAAGATCGAAGTAAATACTTCTATACCTACGTAAATCTAAATTACGTATTCTACATTCTACCCACTACCATTGATCACAAATAAGATTATTTATAATTATAAATTAATATATAATATAATTCATGATTGCATGAAAATAAAAACAATAATTTTGTAAGTATAATAACAATCTTTTTATTACTTAATCAGCAGCGTAAATCATGATTTATTGGAAATCGTTTTCGCGATAAATTCGTAATAAATATTGAAAAATGTGGTAAACAGGGCTGTGCACTATGTTTTTCATATTATTATGTTTATACATTTAACGGGTTAGGACATTGTTTCTTACAACTGCTATAACTATAAAGTATTGATTGAAATTTAAAATCAGTATTATTATTATTAAATTAAGTATACAATCATAAATAGAGCCATAGAGGCAACGAGCAAGTGCCTCCACACCACCAATTCACTCTCCAACCTAGGACCTAGCCGACCGGTCCATCTACCATCACTATTGTTTTTGTGAATTATAATATAAAATGGTAATTTTATCATCGACTGTTGTGTACATATCAGCTCCTAAAATTTGTGTGTAGTACAAAAAGTGAAGTGTGTAGTACGAAATTTAAAAGTGTATAACTCAAATTAAAGTATTAAACCTTTATAATATTATGAATAATTTTATGGCTTCACTTTTTTTTATATTATTTGTAAAAATAAATAAAAACTTAACATTTTTTTTTTTTTAACTAGAAGATTTGTTACTATATTATTGATTATTGGTTGATATTATTTCTCGCGAACGAAGAGATCGGTTTTGTGAAATGGGGATAAGTATTTTACTGATACATTTTGTAAGAGGCCCCTCTTATTGATTGGCCGACTTTCTTTGAACCCTTAAATCCGCCACTGGACTTATGCCACTAAATATCATACATTTTTTGAGTTACGAAAAAGAAGTTTAATTTAAAAATGTATGCAATAATGTATAAATAGGAGGTAGGTATGCATTCAAAATTAACAAAATTATAGTAAATGCTCGACAAATAAAAGATTGTTTTCAATTATCTGATGTATAAAACGGATTCTGTACTATATAGAAAAGTAGAAACACACTGACAGGGACTTCCCCGAAAATAATGCATTTTGCATTCAAATCTTGGTCTTAGTTATAACTTATAACTTATAAGTACCAGTGGCGGAATTATGGGGGGGGGGGGATATGGGAATATATCCTCCCCCAGAAGCCTTTTTTTTAGAATAACCATAGTAAAATTCCCGCAAGCACTTGGTTTTAAAAGATTTTAAGATAAGAAATATTTTAAAATTAGAAATAAGAATTCATGGATATTATCATAGTTGAGATTTTTTTATTTTACTAGTACCTATAAAACTACGATAGCTCAATAATTACAATATATGACAAGAGAATTGTTCCTACAGCTCACGAACTAAGATACAATGGACTGGAAACGACATGATCGGGAGGCTCGGGGGACGGCCACGAAAAGGTGTGCTTTGCCTTTTGTAAATACATTCTTAGCCTATTTCGTAGCCGTTATAAGCTGCTTGAATGGACTTACAATGTTATCAGTGCATCGGGACATAATTAAGTTGAACCCTGATGACTTACTGCATATTTTAGTGAAAAAGCAAAAAGGAAAATTGACTTGATATAATAATTTATGAAAAATAAATTTAAGGCGCCCAGTGCCGATGCCATTTTGTCCTCAAAAATACACTCTGTGGGAATAACGATACCGCCTCATAGAACCAACCACATTTCATATTTTTTTTTTAATTACTAGCTAGAGAGAAATATTCTTTAGCCCCCATCGATCTCGATTTTTCAATATTTTATTCTCAAACTTTATAATATGCCTAGAAAAAAAAGAGATAAAATACTTTTTTTTACAAATTTTTTAGTACATTTTTTGAAATAAAATACAAAATCAGAGATCGATGTGGCCTGTAGGAAGTCTTTTTCTTTCAGATAAAAAAATAGTCATCAAAATCCGACAATTCTACAAAGCCTGATAGTTATTCCCGTGAAGTAATTTTTTTCGATATAATACACCCTATAAATAGGTATCGGGTAGTAGACTAATGGAAAAGTATGATAATTGAGGTGGAAACTAAAATATAAAATTTAATTTCCAAATTTTTTTAGAATTGCGGCAAATTTGAAAAACTTGCACCGCGGGGCCATTAATCTTATTTAATTGTTTACTTTATTGTCTATGAAAACCATTATTATACTATTTACCTCATTTAATTTAAAATAATAAATTAATATAATATTATGAATAATTATGACATATGAGATTTAATGGTCAAAGTGGTGTGGGGCCGTGGGGGTATAGCCCCCCCACTAGAAAGATAATATAAATTTATATCCCACCACAGAACCAATTCCAAATTACGCCACTGATAAGTACCTATTTAAAGTTTATAGTTGAGTAGATTAAATCATGTTGATCCACTATACCAAGGTTTTCTAAATATAATAGGTATGTCTGTTTAAGCCATGGGTATGTCCTAAAAATAATATTACCTATACCAGGTGGATTATTTTGTACCAGCCCTGGGGACATAATATGACATCCATCCCACTGTGCAAAACCCAGTCCGCCACTGCAGGTAGGTACGTTAATACGTTATATTACTAAACTTACAAATTTTCATTATTATATCTTGGAAATTTCAAGACATCACGGACCTGATGTTATATCCTTTGTGTTAACTATGAAGTGGCCTTCCAATATCCATTTATGGAACATCATAACATGTAAAGGAGGGGTTAGTCAATTAGTAAATCACTATACGTTCGTTTTAGGCTCCTTCTGGGGTCACCAGAGATAGTGGGAACAGATAGTTCTGAAATCAAGCCGGGGTTGCGGTGGTAGAGCAAATTAATTTGTTGAATACCAATTAGTAGTATAATTTGAGAAGTAGTAGTACCTATGTGGTTTTGGTTATTTGGCGAAAGCATTTGAATTGAAATATTTGTAGGAAATAAGATTAAAACAATCATCCGCCCGCGGCAACAAAGCCCTATTTCCTCCCACTAAAAACGGCCACGACTATATATTTTAATTATAACTTTTATATTTATTAATTTTCACTGACTAGGTAAAATAAAAAGGCTCAATATATTTTGTTCACGGATGCTGGTGGTTTCAATGAAAAGCGCAACAGAACGACGTGCGTCATACATTATACGTACGCACGCGGTAACGGCTAACAAACATTTATAAGATCGATGTCGACTGACTGCTGAGTATGCGTTATTAGATATTGATACTACTTATTAAATCATACCCGCAAAAATATTATCCTCTATACATTTTGTATAATAGTTGATTTTACTCTATGATTACTCAAAAATTATAAAAAACGATTTTAGGTGAAAGCGTTGTATCTATGTTGCGCGTGGGAATAAGCGAAAATCCATCAACATTTCTGGGGGGCTGCTAACATTTTTAACATACATGTGAGTGAGAGGGCTTCCATCCCACACAACTAAAAATCTGTATGGTTTTGGGGGGCTCAGCCCCCTTAGAACTCCTGTGATTTGCACCTATGCAGCGTGGGTCTGAGAGAAAACAAATATTGCGCTGATATCCTCTTAAACAATAATACCATTTATAAATAGTTGAATTTCTATTAGATTCTCGGGTCTCTGTCTCTCTGACCTCGAAAGGTTAGGTACTTACCATAATATTACCACAATGATAAAACTTATTTAGTCGCCTATCTCTAACTCTTCTTAGATATTTGGCTTGTTGATTTCTTCAGATTACCATTGTTGACAAACTCTAAAATAACAGTATAAAACAATGCTTCTTAACTTTATTTTTTACTACACCCATAAAAATGTCGACACACTTACCTAAAAGGACGCTACACCCGCATGTGTTTTCTCGGTCTTACAATTAATGTTTAACATACCAAAAAATGTTTTGGCTTGGGAAAGAACTGAGAAGGCTATAAACATAACTTGAAACAACATTTTCAGCACTTTAAAAAGAGAACTTTGGCTGTGCATTATTGTTTTTATTTTTTCGATATCGGAACTTCAAAAAAAGTTATTGAAGTTGTAAAACACAAACAATAATGAATTTTGAAACAATAAGAACGTATAAGTGATATCAAAAAAATAAAAACGATATTAGCCAAAGTTCTCCTTTTTAGGTGGTGAAGATTTCTTGTCTTTTCTTAGTTATGAATTATGACTGTAGTTTTCTCGGTACTATGTTGTACATTTGTAAGTAGGAGACAAAACATGCGGGTGTAACGTCCTCGGCCCACATAACGGATTTTTGATCAAGTAAGTTATAAACATTAAAACCTATATGTAAATTGAGAATAATATTATCTTCCCAATTGTTTTACTTATTTGTGGTTATTGCCATCACACCATAACCCATAATAGTGTCATATATTAATTATATTTTTAACATGTAGGTAAAACATAAATAAAAATTTGGGGGACAGAGTGGCCGAGCGGACTAAAGCGTCGGTTGCGACTCGCACCGACGCCGGTTTGATCCCGGCCACAGGGGCATATTGTTCTTCGGGCAGTCACGGTGTCCGGAGAGAGGCTGCCATCCCCTACCCGGGCATGGCAGAAACCCATGGGTGCCCAAATTGAAATTCTGCCAAAACCAAACACACGTGTTTACCCACTCACAGTACCATCCCCTACAAACAGCTATAGGCCATAGTTTCCGGACTTAATAAACAATTAAAAAAATTTAGCAACACACATTACTGTGATACGCGTCATACCCATTGAGAACCACTGGTATAAAATAATTTAATATTTTTAACAATTAAAAGTTTGGCATCTAAACGTTTTTACAAAATTTCAAAAAAATTATTTTACATATAAGAAATACTTATTTAATGCATGATTCTTTTATTGATAAAAATGCATGTTAAAAAATCACACTTCATTATATTAGATTTATATATACCAGTATTTGTTTTAAATATTTAAACCGTAGTATTGATTAAATATTATTAATGGGCATTATGGAAATTAATAGCATCATCACTATAATGAGCATTTTATATTATTATTTACTAGTTTGTTATTACTAAGACATTTCATGAATTCAATGATTTAATTTTCAGTTTTGATTATGAATAATGTATAACTAAAATAGTTATTACTTATTAATAAGGGAACACAATAAAATAACATAACAAAATTAAACTGAATATAGTAGTATATCTAAATACTACAAATTGGTATCAAAATATATAGTTTAATAAAAAATGCATACATATTATGAAAATTGCAAAATATAGATGATAATAATTGTATTCTAATATTCTAGTAAAAAATCAATTTATTATAAATAATCTTCAATAATAATCTAACATTAAATATAAAATAAATAATCAGTTATTGCTTAAAAAAAAAAATTGGTATTGTATAAAGCGTATTACATATAAATAAAAACATAAAAATCATAAAATACATTATATTATTATGTTATTACATGTTTAATACCCAATGGCACTTAATCAACATTTACAAGATAAGTAATAAGTACTATATATTATCAAAAAAGGAGATTTTTTTTTAATCAGACTTCATTATTAATCATAATATTTAGAATTAACATTTTTAATACGTTGGAGCTGTTCCATTTTTATTTTGCAGTAATAAAAATACTTCAAGTCACAAAAATGTTGCTTTTCTTCTAAATTACAACAATCAACCATGCTAAATGAGTCATATTATAAATAAATCGCCTGACTAATAATATATAATATTATATAGTAAAAATGCAGAACATTAAAATAAAAAGTGAATTAATCTTATTGTTTATATAAAAAAATCAGTCAAACATTTTTGTTTTCAATAATTAGAAATACAATATAAATCATAAATGGCCACATTTTAAAAAGGATATAATACAAAAGTCAACTATATACTGTTGTGTTTTTTCAAAAACTTATACCTAAGGAAAGGATATGTTAATTTATAACAACATAATATCAACTGTTAATTAAATATTATATTCTAATACCTAATATTTTAGTAATAAGATTAGCTTCATAAAATAAGGTTTGTCAAGGTTAGGGTTTTTAAAATAAAAGTAGAACTAGAACATTTTAATTAATACAGAGAAATTAAATTATTTTAGAATAAAAACAAGGTTTTTAGTTTGCCCAAAATGTAAATATATCAAATATCACATAAATAAAAAATACGATAAACTTTTAAGGAAGCTTCAACAATAGATAAAAAGTTAAAATTATTAAAAACAGAAAATAACTTTAAAAATTAAAACTGTGATGTCAACTTAAGCTTACAATACATATACTTAAAAAAATTGTTTTCAATAACTAAAAATTAATGGGCTTAATTTGATTTTGAAATTTAATATTTTTTAAAAACTAGTAATTCGTAGCTGTAATTTAAATATTTTAAACTTAATCAATAGTCAAAAGTCACAATTGTTTAATAACTTTTATTTTTGATCATTAAGTTTTTTTTTTTTTTTTGGATAGTCTATTATTAATAAAAAAAATTAATGATATATTTTACACAAATAATATAGTTAAAATCATTTAAAATATTATAGCACAAAACTAATATTTTTAAAATGTTAAGCTTACTAAAATATTTTTTAAGAGTAAGGATTCAACAAATATACGTGGGGTTTTAATCCTACAGCACTAGATGTCGTCCTAGTACGTAGAATGTGTGTAGTAATGGGTATAGACAAGAATAGCGAGCAATTAGTCAGTGAGAAAATAGAGCGTGCGTTGTAAACTTGTAACATTGTATATTTGTGTTTATAACATTGAAGTATATTTGTAACAATTTAATAAAGTGTAGTAATTACCAATAATGCCTGCAGGTATTATTTATTTATTTATTATTGATCAGTCTCCCTAAAATCCAACATATATTTTTCTTACTAACTAACTAATGTATAACACCATAGTTTTTTAATATGTTCAATAGTATTCATGGAACTATGTCGTGGAGTGAATTTCTATCAAATAAAATGTAATATCAACTATTAATTGATCCACTCATACGTGCAGTCTGTTAAAAAATTAATTACTTCATATCATTTTTTATTAATAATAAGAATAAGATTGTGCATGAAACAACAATGGACACTAACTTACTAGACATAGGCAACATAAATTACATAAAGAATTTTAAGAAATGTGAGTATTTAGCAGATACTTGTAACTATTATCTAGAATTCTATATCAGTATAAAACATTAGATTTAAAGTTTAACGGATTAGCATAATCCTGAGTGAGGTCTCTTAAGTGATTTTTGAGGTTGCGGTCCTCCACCTTATTTATATTTATAAACTTACTATCTTAAGACAATTCTATTGTAACGGGATTTTGTGACATATATGAGTTCTGTGAACTATCAGCCAACTGTTGATCATTATTATTATTTGTGTTTGATGGCCTGTAAGTGAGAAGAGAACCTGCAGCTGGTATGTTGTGTGTTACAAGGCTGATCGGATGATCTGGCGGTGGCATTGTAGCAACCATAAGTGGAGCACCATCTAAGGATATTGGAACTTTGACACCACTCACTGTGATCATTGCAGTGCCACTATTGTGATCAATATCATTTTTATCCACAGTTATGATTTGGTTACCTTCAGAATTCTAAATAGTAAATTAAAAAAATTGCATTTTAATTAAATAATACATTTCATTATTAAATTCAACATTTATTTAGAGTACATTTTGTTGATTTTTTTATAATGCCTCATTCATGCGGAAACATAAAAATTCATGAAAATCAGTAATAATATATAGTATATAAGAATATTAGATTTATGACTTGGTATTATATAATTCAAACCATAGAACTGTAACATAAGTAATGTGAAATTTGGGAATGATGTAGCCAGGCTCTCCAACTTCTTTTTTAAACAGGCTATATCTGAGATGGATCTAGGAAAATTGGTCCCCACGAAAAAATGCTGCATGACAATGGGCCCGCGTCATAATTCTATGCACGAAAAATTGATACCAGACTTAAAAGTTAAATACAAAATATTGTTTTGCATAAAACCTTCTTATATGATTGATTATATTATAATATAAATCCAATATAAATAATAAATATTCAATGTTAAATATAATATTAACTATTCCCATGACACTGAACAAAGTAAAAATAGTTAAATACAAAATAGTTTTTAACATAAAATGTTTTAAAAGTATTCATTGTCTCAAGAAAAAATAATGGCCGGGACCTATTCTCCGCATACAGCATTTTTATGCATTGACAAAAGGTTTGTATACCATCTGAGATATATGTTAAGAGAATGCTACCTATGCATTTGTTGTCTCCGTCTTACATACGTACAACATAGCAAATTTTTGTTCATAAGTTTCAATAGTATGCTGTTTGTTTTGATACTAGAGTGATTTGACTTATTATCAATTTTTTAGATAATAACATAATCTGTGCTGAAGCATTGGCTTTTATTCAATATTTTAATTTTTGATACAGTGGAACCTCGATAAGTCGAAATTCAAGGGAAATGCAATTTTTTCGACTTATCAAGGTTTTCGACTTACTAAAGTTTTCGAGTTATCAAGGTTTTAGAAAAAAAATTCGACTTAAAGAGTTTTAAAAATGTATGTATGTATTAAAGTTTTTAATTATTATGTACTTAGTATATATGTATATACAATGTAAAAAAATTTGATTATACAGATTATTTAAATAAAAAAATTATTACAAAAAAATATAATAAAACATGTGTTGCAACTTTATAAAAGATAATTTATTATTTTACTTTGACTTAAAATTTGAGATTTACTATTACCAATTGTATTTTCTATTACATTTAAAGCAGAGTACACTTTATCGTCCACATTACTCAATTGTTCGGTGAATGTCCTTAGCAATATGAGGGCTGCTGTTGCTTGCTTCATTGAAACAATGAAGATTAGATAAAATTATCGGAACGGACAAGCCGATTAGACAAATGTTTATTAAATTATCTGTCATTATCCGTCATATTCGGAGCACAGAATGTTCGAGTTATCTATAGTTTTTTTTTCGAGTAATCGAGGTTTTCGCAAGGAGACCGAATTTTTTTCGACTTATCAAGGTTTTCGACTTATCGAGGTTCGACTTATCGAGGTTTCACTGTATTTCACATACCCATATCTAGCTTGAAAATGAAATCGGTAACGCTTAGGCACAGATAATGTTCTTACCTAAAAGTTTTATAATAGGTCAATTCACTCTAGTATCAAAACTAACAGCACACTATTGAAACTAGTGAATAACAATTTGCATGTTGAGCGTGTGTAAGACGGAGACAACAAATGTATGGGTAGCGTCCTCTTAAAACATCGCATACTGAAATTGTTTGGGTAGGGAGGTAATGACTAATAAAATTTAAAGAAGAGAAGTTTCATTTTAATATTTTATCTTTTCATACATTTATAATTGAATTTAAGTAATTTCGACACAATTCTAATATATATAGTTCTTGAAGTTCAAGATCAAAATATCAGTTAGATACGCAGATCGGTAATTGCCTCTAAAGCATTGTTTCTCAATCTTTTTAGGACCACGACCCAAATTTCCCGTGAAAAATCTTTCGCGACCCACATTGTTTCAATTTTCAAAAAGTGGGTAGTAAAAAACCAAATTTGTATTATATAAATACGAAGGGTTACGGGGAAAAACGATCATAGTCAAAAGAAAGAAAAAATCAAATAATTATAGAACCTTTTGGTTAGTTTCATAACAAATCGACACGTGAATCGAGTTATGGAAAAAAGATCACGGTCAATGATATAATACAGGTTTAAATATTACCATAACGGGGAAAAAAGGCCAGTGTCCCACTTTAAAACTGCAATACTGAACATTTTAGGAATATTAACTATTATCGTTTTTCTCCATAACCCTTCTAATAACTCTATGTATACATTTTTATTAGGTATTTAGTATTTTATAGGTTTATAATTAATATATTTTTAGAAATGTACTTTTAATAATGAGGTGTATGCGAAATGTGTGCTTGTTTTCTGTTATGGTTAATAACATCATTGACATTGATGTCAATTTTAATTATTTTCAAAAGTAAAGAGTTAGATAACTAGAGCTTGTTTCGATTTTTGTTTTTATGCCCACTATTGCCGAAACTCCAACTTCACACATGTATGAAGATGAGAATCTATATAATTAAAAAAAATGTTCGCGACCCACCAAAAATCGACCGACGACCCACACTTTCAGAAAAGCTGCTTTAAAGTATAAGATGGGTAGGTGTGATACATTTTAAAAATACAAAAATATATAATAGCAACCAGATTGGAGACCCCTGATCAAGAATGTAGGAAAGAGATATTAGATAAGCAGATATTATTCTTATGATAGGCGCATGCCAGTAACAAGTGAGTAATTGAAACTATTAACTAAACTTTCCTAACTTAAGAGTGAGACAATCTAAATTGTTTTATGACACAAATACTATTAGGTAATAATCTTCTAAAATACTAAAATAAATATACATTCTCTTACTTCTTGAAAGTATTCAATTTTTGGTCGTTGTACTTGCACTAATTCTATATCTAGAAAAGGCTTATTATCAATTTTGTTATGCGCTGAAGATAAATGATATTCAAGTTTGTGTTTTCGATCATAACTCATACCACACAATGGACATCTAATAAATAAAAATTAAGTTAAATAATTGAATAATTAATCAATAAACAGTAGTCAATACAAATAAACAGTGCTCAATTTGTAGACATAATTTACTATTTTGTTTGAATATTTAAAACACACTTTTACTTATTACTAGGGTTCGGGACTTGTTGCATTTGCATATGGCTTAATAATGACTGCAGAATAGTCTAAGTAAGATTTAAATTTGTTTTAAGTCATAACGGATTGAAATACAAAAATTTTAATTGCATATTTTTGCATATTTTGCCGTTTTCTGAGCAAAATGCATATTTGACAAATTTTGGCAGTTTAATTGTTATTTACAGCATATTTAAGCAGTTTTTTTTTATGTTAAGTACATTTATTTTAAAGGTTAACTTTATTTTTTTTACTTTCATGCGTTGTTCAATATCTCTGTTCTAATGTCTAATTGCGTACAGTCAAACTTTACAAGTGAACAATTCATCGTTTTTATATTTAATAATAATTTAATATATTAAAGAAAAACCCAACCTTTTTTTCATTGTAGGAGAAGACGAAGAAAATGAAATCGAACATACACTTCAGTAATATAATGTTGATAGTGTTATTGTAGTCAAAAATATGACTAATTACAAAAGAAGGTCTAAATTTAAATGAATAATACAAATTTTTTAATTTAAAAAAAAATATTCAATTGCATATTTGTTCGCATATTTAGGTTATTTTAAGTGCATATGTGCATGCATATTTCCTATAATTTGTGTGCAATAAGTCCCGAACCCTACTTATTACTAATAGTTTAAATCAGTGTCTACTATTTTAATGGTATGTTTAACAGTAAAATATTTTAGTTACCTATTCATAATATAATTTGTTTCTAGTGAAATTTAATGAACCATCCAAGTTAAAAAAAGGTGGGCAAGTGGGTGTCGCTCTGCTGTACAGTAGGTTACAAGTGGGTCACTGTATAATGGATGGTATTAAATTTGAATTCAATAATATCATTGTATAAGAAAAACGATTCTGAGCGGTGACGGTATGTCAGTCTATGTATAAGACATATTATATACATATCTATGGTATTAAACAAAAAATTGACCTATAATAGGTACCTATAATAAATTCCAAATTAATCATATCACAATATCCATTAGATACTTATAACGCGTTATACATAAAAAAAAGTGATACTATCATAGATATATAATAGTACACTTTAGAAGTTTCAAGTACCCACGAATAATATTATTCAATCACAACAAAATAACTAAAATAGTTATTCTAGGTTTTTTAATATGTAATTTCGTCCAAATTTGAATATAAAATGTCTGTAAAAAATAACTGTGTTGATATAATTTTTAGATTTTTTGGTTACAGTATGAACTATTTACGAGAACCTTTGTGTTGAATTTGCAATCCTTAGCTATAAAAACTGAACATTTTATAATTTATTAATTACAATGATTGATAATTTTCGAGATTTTGATAAATTTTGTCAAAATTTGATTTTTAAATGCTTATAAAAAAAAACTGTGCCTATGTATTTTTAATATTTTTCAACTGCTATTGTAACAATATATCAGGAGCCTTGTATTAAATTTTTACACTTTTTGGCCCAACAGATAAAACTTTATTGATATTTATAGAAAAAAATTGAAAGCTGTAAATGTCCATAAACATCTCAAAAAGAGTCAAAATATTTTTAAAATTGTATCAAGTATAGGAATTGCTAACATAAATATTCAGTGCAATTCTCATGTATCTACAGTTGTTCGTTTTTGAATTGCAACAAAATAAGGAAATCGCTACATGAGTAATCGAGTGAATATCCAATGTTGTAAAAATTTGAATTTCAAACGCTCATAAAAATTTAACTCGACTGTCCGGTAGAGATTTTTTTATTGATAAAGGTAGATAATCTTATAAGGAATCTTGTGTTTCATTTTCAAATCTTAGATTTAAAAAGAAAAATTTTTACGAATTCTTAACTCAAAATAATTTGCTAATTTTCGTGATTTTTCCATATTTTGTAAATTTTTGAACTTTAAATTATAAAAAAAAATTGTGACTAAGGATTTTTAATATTTTTCATCTGCCTTTAAAACAACATATTAGGAGCCTTCTATTAAATTTTCAAGCTTTCGCAACCAACAAATAAAATTTTATTGATATTTCTAGAAAAAAAACTAAAAAAAAAATGAAAAATGAAAATGTCCCTAAACAGTTCAAAATAAATCAAAATATTTTGAAAATGTTATCGTGTATAGAAAATGCAAATATAAACAACCAGTGAAAATTTCATGTATCTACGGTCATTTGTTTTAAAGTTACACCAAAAACCAAATTCGATTTTTTGGAAAATCGATTTTGCGTAAATATTCCCGTTTTTCCTTAATTTTTATGTTGTTTTTTCCCGGCGCTTGTGAAAACTACTGGAAAATGTTTACTTTTGACCCCCCAAAGTACCAACTAGATTCACTTTCCTATCAGAAAAGGTACTATTGAAGAAAATCGAAGCACTTCTACTGTCCCAAAACGTGATGACAGACACAAAAATATAAAAATATAAAAATATAAAAACACACATCATTGTAAAACCAATACATTCATCGCTCCGCTCAGAATCTAAAAAATATTGGATATAAGCCGCAACTAGATCTTCAAAAGGATAAAAAAAACTGTATATTTTTTCATTTAAAAAAAATTAATTTTGCTTTAATTATTATTGTGCAAGGTAATTCATTTTTAACTTAATCATATTAATTATTTTACCATTCTACTGTATAAAATGTTATAGTTGTATGATACATAATTTACATTATTTTCCATTTTGTCTGAACTGGTAGAAGAGCCCCCAAGAACAAAGAACACAGTTCAATAATTTCAGTGAACGATTTATCAAAAATCCTAGTCCTATTTTTTTTTTAAATTTTTAGTACAACAATTAACAATTAAAAATGATTGACTCACACATGATTTCTGTTTCTCTTAGGCCCAATTCCTCCATTATTATTGTGAATATGCACATGAGCGTTCATGTTATACTTTTCTGCAAAACGTTTCCCACATATTGGACAAGCATATGGTCGCTCTCCAGTGTGGACTCTTAAATGTCGCTTAAGATGTGATTGAGATAAAACAGCCAAACCACATTCAGAACATTTAACATGTTTTTCACCTGTATGAGTCATTGTATGTATGTGAAAACTTTTTTGATGAATAAACCGCTTCCCACACAAATCACATTGAAACCGTGTATATCCAGTATGAATGGGAATATGTTTTTGTAGACCAACTTTTTGTGTAAAAGACTTATTACAGTATTCACAAGTAAAAGGATGTATGCCATTGTGCATTCCAATGTGCACATCTAAAGCTTTTTTCATTTTATAGGCTTGACCACAAATCTAAAAATCAATATTAAGATTATAAACAAATTGGAAAAACTTAATACAAAAAGATTAGTAAGATACCTCACAAACATAAGGCCTCAAACCACTGTGTGATTGTATATGAGATTTTAACTCTGTCACTGTCCTCCATTTTTTGTCACAAAGTACACAACTATGTATAGCTGGTAAACACGCGCGTTCACCAGAACGCGAACCACCCCTTTTGTTTCGTCCTTTTTTTAATTTATTATCAGATTTTTCTGATCCTGATGAAGGAGCTCTAGCTTCGTCCACTGCACTTAAATTATCTTCGATGATGTTTTCTTCGATATAGTTAATTTGCTGATCTTCTTTCCATTCAAAATCATCGTCTCCAATCTCTTCCTGTACAATTTCCTCCAAGTACATGCTATTATCAATAGAAAAATCAGGTTTAACATCAATTATCACACCTTGAGGAGACTGATTTAAATAATCAGTATTAGCTTCAGTGTCTATGATAGAACCTGTATCAGCACATTGGGAGGTTTCATTTTCAGCTACAAACAATAAATATTAGCTCAATTAATATATATTCTAAAAATAAGGATATGTTAACTACTTTTAATAGTTGGAGAAATTAAATCAACTTGATCATTAATAGACTCTTTATCCAAAGTCGTATGCTCTTTGGACAAATGATTGTTTAATGCTTGTTTGGTTGAATAGCTTATATCACAAGATGAACAAAAGAAAAGTTTTGGACTTTGGTGAACCATGTTAAAATGATTCTTTAAATCAAAAGCTCGTTCAAAAGAAACATCACAGTTCTCACATTTGTAATTAATACCAACACTGGCAACACTTTGTTTCTTTGATTCTGAAAAATTAAAATTTTATATATTAATTTTAAATCATTTTTTAAATTAAAACTTATATAATACTTATATTTATTTATTTTAAATTCTCACTTGTTTCACTTATTAGTTCTGCTGGGGGCTTGATGTCTACTGTGGGCTTGATGTCTACTATATGCTTGATGTCTACTGTGTCCATATGTCCTGTATCATTTTTATCAAGTAGAATTTTATCTTCTGCAGTATCAGAAGTACAATCTTTAGAATTGTCATCGTTGTCCATAGTTTCATCAGCTTGTATGCTATTTATGATATTCTCAACAATCTAGCAACATAATAAAATAAAAAAATTATAATTTCAAAAAAGTGTTTACCCGTAAATTCATTTAAAAGATATTTCTTTACTTTGATGTTTATTATTTTCTTTTTTATGAAAAATTAATAATTTAATTATATTTAAAACAATTACAATATAATATTGATACGATTACAAGACTTTTAAAAAAATAGTTTATGTAAATTCTGCTAGTTTTACTAGTTTTAAGACAAGTATCTATTATCTTGAATTAACCTAAGAAATTAAAAGAAAATATAAGGAACCATCATTTTTAACTATAGTTTGACACCAGCAAAGTATAGGTAAATAATAAGTATACTTAACATAATACATAATTTGCAAATAACAGTCAATAAAAGCATATCATTTACAATTTTAAACAAACAGTCAATTTGTCATACTTGACTTATGACAATACTTTTTTTTAAATTTAAATTTAAAAAACTTTCTAATGAAATAGTAATATCATTGTAATAGTTATAAGTTATTACTTATTAACTAAAATTTACCACTAGAATAATTTAATTATTGTAAGTTGGTAGTTTTTACATTGGTTTTTTTTTTTATAGAGATTACCACTTGCTTACATTTGTTCTGGGACATTTTATAATAACATTTTTGTTCAAAATCTAATCTAAGCTTTTATACTTCTTAAAAACACAATTATTGTAAGTTAAGTAGCATTCTAGCTCCTCTCTAAAACTAAAAATTGATCTTAATAATTTACCTCATTTAGAGCAACGGATGATTTTTCGCTATTTTCATCATCATCATCATTAAAAGATGTATCATCATTTTTTAGTTCACTCTGTGAAAGTTCAACAATTTTTGTTTGAACCATACTATCAACAACATTAAAATCAGTAGCGTCTTTATATTCAACACATGTAGAAGTGTAACGTTTAATAATGTCAGTTTGAAGCTTTTTGAAACGTGTAGATATCTGATCCAACTCATCAAAAAGTGTAAAACACCTATAAAAACAGAATACATATAATATTAGTGAGATCTAACCATTACAATCTAAAGTATTTAATTGGCACAGATAGGTTTTACAATACAAAATGGAACAATACTTGCCTTCGACACAATACAGAGCTTCTCATAAGAGAGGGATTCAAAACCTTTTTAAGTATTTTTGACATAACATCTATTAACAACAGGTCTCTTTGAGGCATAAATGTACAATAAATATCGTATGACGAACGAGTAGTAACTTTTATATTGCATATAAAACATTTTAAACTCTGTTCTTCCCTTTCTTCTAAAGCAGAAGACATCTTACTAGTTTATATTTTGTATAGGTACTTAAAAATTCCTGAAATAAATTACAGCATAAATAATTAGTACATTTTAATTAAATACACAGCTGTTAGATTCGGACAATGTTGCAGGTTTCGTGTCTATGTTTAGCATTTCAGTATTTACTGACGGTAGAATAAGTTAGTATTTTGGCGTATTGCAATTGTCACAAACCGAGACTCTTAAGAAATTGTATCTTACTGTATATTATAAAAGTTATGTTTTGATCACACAGGTGATATCAGAGACGAAAAATAGATAATCATCCTAATAAACTACCTCCCCGACATAAGTATAATTCGCAATAACGACGACAATCGTAGACGAGATATTGTAACGGCTTACGAATGTGAAACAACAATTTGACCATTACCTATTACAGATGTGAGCCGGTGCCGAGCTGAAGACTGTACCTACAGGGCTTTTGTTTCGATAATCATCATCGTCATCATTATTGGCATTAGGCCGTAGGGTCAAATTTTCAGAATCGAGTCACGTCCTCGGCGACGACGAAATAATAATCATAGGTAGTATTTATTTAAAACCATGTCGTCTCGTCGTTGCGAGTTTTCGACGACGACGACGGTCGCCGGTCGGACACTCGGACGGTGTCAATTTCGACTTATCAAAAACGAAATGAATGTCTATTGTCTATCGTCAATCGTCATCAGTCGAGACTCGCCACTCGCGGGTCAACGGCGCGGCCAAGACACCTATACATATAATATACAGAAACCGTCGATCGTAATAATTATATTTCAATTTTCCGTCCGGCCGGCGGCGGGGGAAAAAAATGCCCACCGTCGATATCCGCAGCCGCGGCTGACCAAAGATTAGCCCGAAAACTGAAAAGCTTGAAAGCCGCCGTCGCGCATTTTACGGTACCCTTGGCGCGCGCGGTCCGCCAAACGCACCGCCATTTTGTAAACCAATGTCGCGCGACTCGACCATCATCGAGCCGCCGCCTTTTCGTTGCCCAACGGCCACCGTTGGGAAATTGTTGCTACTCACCAAAAGCGTTGGTCCGTCGGAAACACACAGTGTGGTCACTCACTCGTCGTCCGCCGAGCCAGCGACAGATCAACGGAAGTTATGACTTTGCTGTTCGCAAACCAATTCCCGTACTTTCGTTTGTTATTCAGTTATTGTCGTTCTACGTCGTCTCGTAACTCGTTAATCATTTATTTTTTTTCATTTTTATTCTACCCATGACGCCTCGCACAGCTCATTTACAATTTATAACCGTTCATAACATCATGCCGGATATTGTCGCCGAATCGCTTATCTGCGAGTTATCTCCTAACCTTCGACGGCAACCGGGCAACAGCAATAACTGGTATTTGGTAACTGCAGTCTGCACTTTGCAGCCGCCAGCCATGAAGACTAGAGATAATCTCTATGGTCTTCATGTGAGCAGCCAACAATATTAATGAATACCACGACTAAAGTTATGTATATAATATCTTTAATCGTAATTAATGCAATACAATTAATTGTAATATGAACCTAGAATGATATATAGATGTATACAACAAATTTAGTCATGGCTCACGATTTCAAATTTTAATCCGGGATTCCGGTTATGAACCTGTCATGGAATATTTTCTCATCATATTTATGAACAGAAGCCGGACACGGAATCAGGGACGTTCCATCCACGTAGAGAAAACGAGTCCACAGATGTTTCACCCCCATAAATTATTAAGATAGGGCTTTTGGCCCTCTGGAGTTATAATATGATGTTATTTAACTACTACAGGACGTTTGGTACCCCGGGAGGCCAAATGTCCTATTTTAATAATAGAAGGGGACGAAACATCCTTTTACCCCGGACACGGAGGAACATCATTCAGTATTTACTATTTTGTAATTTAACCCCTAATTAATAAAGAATTAATTGAACCATAGCCAAATGCTATTCAGCCTAAAACACCCAGATTTAATTACGATTTACAATACTTGCTATGAAAGTTGAAGGTATTTGGTAATATAGTATTTGCTCGAATAACTATATCTATGAAATATGATATATTGTACTACTACCTATATCATACCATAATTTATAACTTACACTAATTAATAATATATTTATATAAATTAATATAATACAACAAAACAATTAGCTATTAGGTACATATATTTGGCAAACAGTGTTACAAAGAATTTTTCTTTTTAAAATAAGAAAAAAATGTATTACAAAAAGATGAAGCAAGCTTTAAGAATGAAAAATCTCTTAGGCTTATATATTCTAAAACCATACTAATTTCAGTAATACCTATTTAGCATGATAAATTGAATTTATAAATTAATATATAAAAAAAATTACATAAAAATTAATAGCTATCAATATCTTATAAAATGAAAATATAAATAAATAATATAGGTTATAACTTATCTATAAGATATTTATTTAAATTAAACTTCACTGTCCTGAAAAAAAAAAAAAATATAGAATTCAATATACTTTCTAGTTACTATAATACGATGACATTTTTAAATAGGAAAAAAGAATTAGATGAAAATAATAAATTATTATTAATTTTTAGGTACAAAAATGTTGATAAAATTGGTACAAAATAACATTTAATACAAAGTCTGTATAAGTTTTAGATTCTGAGCGAAGCTATGCATGTTTGGCTTCCAAAGTTGGGCAGTATCTTCGATACAAGTATCTAAGATACGTATCTTAGATACAATTGTATCGAGTATCTTGTATCTCGATACATTTTTAGTCAATGTATCGAGTATTTCATGAAATAATTTAATCGAAAGATACTCGATACATTAATGCGATACTTTGAAAAATTAATTGTTTACGATTATTTTTACTCGTCAGAAGCCACTTTTGAAAAGTTAGATTTTTTAAAAGGAAACAAGATATATTATACTAAATAAAATAAATAAATAGGTATATGATAAAACATTTATACAAATGGTATAATAGTAGTGCAATGGTTATATATAATATTAATATCTGTAGACTGTGACACAAGCACTTTGAATTGGGCTTTACGTCTGTACGACTGTACCTTATTAGATATCTGTAATTTTGTACAATAGTGTATCCAATAGTTACTACATAATAGTGCACCTTTCGTGAAAAGTAGGTAATGGACAAGATAAAATAAGTTGATTAGATTTTTACACCAACACTGCCAGCTACACAAAACCTAACGTAATGTCGTAATTGATTTATTTTATTTTGTTTTATTACTAATATATTATTATTACTGAATAAGTGTCAATTTTTATTATTTTATTTTTCATTCTAATTACTCAATGAAGTGGCCATCCTCACAATAATAAAAATAATTTTTAAAAATCCAGTGACTAATTTTATTAAATTGTATTGAGTATCTAGTGTCGCGATATTCCAAATCCAAGTATCTAGTATCTTGATACTGATTTTTGAGTATCTTGCCAGTCCCTGTTGGCTTCTACAATGTTTTTTTTTAAAGGTATTTAAGCTATATACAATATTCTTACAGCAATTCAAAATTATCAAATAACATAATCTTACTAATTATTTTTTAGATGAAAATATATAAAAATTTAATTTTGCCAAATGTGAAAATGTAATCCAAAATTTAACATGCTTTCTTTACTGGAAGAATATTAGAATATAATATAATAAATAATTACATTTAAAAATATCATTACAAATAGAAACAGACATTGTGTCCACGCTCAGAATCAATTTTCTTATGTAATGATTCATCACTGAAATCATATTAAAAACATCCACTAGTTACATAATCAATGAAGTACACTCAAAACTTCCAGCCGAGTGACTAATTTTTTTTTTTAATTAAAACTGTATGGTTATTGGTTTGAATACATGAATGGAGTTTTATGAAAATTGAAAAAACTTTTAATGAACCTTAATAATAACTATTTTTAATATTTACTAATAATAATAAAAAGAAAAATTATTTAGTAACAATTTATTTATTTTTGAGTGATCATAATACTATATAGACTTAAATTTGAAATATCTTATTAAACCAAGTGATTAGAATTATTGATAAAAATATAAATTATTTACTTACCGAGCAATATTAGAGACACAGTCAAAACTAACGCTACATCTGTATTTAGGGGTTTCCAATTTACCATCGCCTAAACGTATTAAAAGTCCCAAATCTGATAATGTATTAATCTATTTCAAAAATTAAAACATTACAATTATTAAATATAATAATTAATCTTGGTACATATTCAAATAAATAATTAATGAACATAATATACACATTGACACATTATGATTATCAATTGACATTCAATGTTTTTTTTATAATTACTTGCGCTAAAAGGTTGGCAGTCATGTTTGTATTTTCTTCAATAATAGCATAAAATATTGCTAATAAACGATCTAACGAGAAAGCTTTAGGTCCAACTAGTTGACTAGCAGAATTTTCTGTTTTATTTGTTAGCCGATTGGTTTTTCTTTTTTTGTTTGATGCTTTAACAAACAATTGCCTATCATATTTTGGTAAATTAAATGATGCAATATATGCAGCAATTAAAAAATATTTAGCATAATATGGTAAATCCAGAGCAAATTTTTCAAATGTTATTTTCTCATCAGACAAACTATTGACATTTTCCAAACTGAAATCATAATCATTATAAGTAGTAACTAAGCAATTTAAATTTATTTATTCATCAACTGGGAATTTAACTAAATAATTACAACTAATTAGGTTGTTAAATTATGTTAAGAGGATGTAAGAACATTATTTGTTTTCTCTCTGACCCACACACAACTTACCAAATGTATGTGTAGCAAAAGTGCAGAACCAACCTTATGTTATTACTTTTAATATTACAGTGAAATCACTTATTATCAAACTTTCAGTTAAGAACGTTAACTGTATCGCTACGTTGGCTATTTTATGATATTTTAATTTGAATATAAGTTATGACCATTTAAATAATTATAATTCTAAAATGCTTATTAATTACATAAAAAAAAGCCATCTTAGAGACACAGGTAATGTTCTTAACTTAAAGTTTGATAATAGGTGAATTCACTCTAATATTAAAAGTAGCAACACAGGGTTCATTCTGCCAAACATAAATTTGCTGTGTTGAGTGGAAGTCAGAGAGAGAAAACAAGTGGTGGGCTAACATCCTCTTAAAATAAAAACCTTTGTTATTTCCTGTAAGTTCTACAATTTTTAATATTGAATTATCTTTATACTCAGGAGAGAATGCATCCAAATCATTTACTCGTGGTCAAATTTCCCCTTCCATGCGGTTACCCAGGTTACCAGTCACCTTATGGCTTATACAGTGAAACTCCCATATTACAGTCTCATAGAACAATAAATGGAATTGAATAAATTTGGTTCTCAAAAATATTTTGTTAAACAAAAAATTATGTTGAATGGAAGTTTATAGTATGGCCATTTCACTATAACGTGTCACAATTAACTTCGGAAAATGCCCGGACTAAACACAATTGGGAAGGCTAGTGGTTGCGTTCTCCCGTGGTATATAGAGTATTATGTATTTATTTATTTCCAAAAATGTATTAAAAGTTTCTTACACCTATTTTCTTTTATTACGTGCTTAGCTAAAATATATTTATTAAAACTTCAATTTTAATGAAACATACTATGGTATTTAATTACATATAAGTATTTTTTAAGTAAAGATAAAAACATTTTTGTATAGGTACCTTGTTCCTAGATAAACATTATTTAATAATAAGTGAATACTAGGACTTATTTTTCTGAATAGTAAAGTTTGGTTAGTTTCTGTACATGATCCATCTTCTATTGGCTCTACATACTTGATGAATAGGAGTTTTGCCTACAAATTAAGAAATGAAATGTTTAATTCCACAAGTAATATTATTATTTATTGATTATCTTATAAAATTACCAAATGTTTTAATTCTACTAAATCTCGACAGCTTCCATAAAATGATCCCATAAAGACATTTAAAAAATTTTGGTAAATAGATAAACTCCAATTGTTTGGTTTATCTCTTAACAAAATAGCAGATATATCATCTACACAAAATAATATACTCAATAAATTATTTGAATTAATAATATCTATTTAAAATATTACCACTATTATACTGTTCAAACAATATTGGTATGCAATTAATGTCCTCATCAAATTTAGAAGGAAGTACTTGGCTGATAAATATAACACAAAGCTGGTAACTTTTTATTAGCTCTTGTAATTTTGAAAATAAAACTATTTGTTCTTGTCCTAACATCTCACAATTATCCAACACTATAATCACTTGTTCTTTTTGAATCTCAGCTTGTTTCAATATGTTTAAGAATTGCATAAAATTATCACACCTATTGGGTATGTCACTTTGCTTAATTTCTATAAAGAAAAATAAAACATATTTATAAAATTTGGTTAAGTTGGCATATTGTTTACTTACTTAATAAATCTTTTAAAATAGGTTCAAATAATAATCGACTTGTGTAACAGCATATAGAATTCACAATGGATGATTTGACTGACTCTCCAAGTAAAAAGATCAAACGAGTCACTAAACTTGTCTTACCAGTAGATGGTAGACCATGGATAAAAACACATGGAGGTAAAACTTCATCTTCCTGTAGAATAAAAACCCATAATATAATACCTAGATAAAAATTAAACTTTGCAGGGGCGTCCATAAGGGGGGAACTAACGGTGCGACCGCCCCCTCCATAAGACGTGAGATGTTCTGTTTTGCTAATAGATAAAAACATCTTATACAATGGGTTAATTATTTGTACACTGGTTATACAGACCATGGACACAAACAACAAACATATAGATTATTGAAAAATACAGATGTTAAGTTTTTGTTTAGCAATGCGATATTCAAGACTAAACTGTTTTCACCCCTCACATGGAATTGATCTCAAGACGCCCCTGAGTTACAACTCAAATAAGGAAAGATACTTTTGTGAGTTATCTCATGAGCTAACAAGAGTTCAAGAGACTTTGAAACTCCGAGGATTAAAAATAGTTTTGCATCACATCTGTATCTGTTACTGTATTTTCAAATGTGTATTAACAAAAAAAAGTTGTACTTACATTTAAAAATAAGTTAGCCAACGTATTTATTTGTACCTGCCTAAATGGAAATTCAGAATTTAACGTATCTTTTATTGAATTCGATAACATCATGGTGAGCTATACAACTGAATCGGTTATGAAATATGAATTATCAAACGATGAACAGTACTATTGTAGTGTTTTTATAGATCAACAAGTATAATTAAATAGTAACTGATGCATTTAAACATTTTGTAAACTAATTATTATGAGTTATGACGTGCAATCGTGCAGATACAACAATAAAACACAATATTCAATATTATTTGTTAATATTATCAAACATTTGATTAAAATTGGAGGGAAAATTTCATAGCGATAGTAGAAAAATTAGTGGGGAAGGTGGAGTGTGGACATCAATAATTAATTAAATTTAATCAAAATTCATACTTCATAGAAAAGCACCTATATAGTATATACCTTTATAACTTAAAACTATAACCACAGACTATGTTTTCTATAATCTGTGCTATAACATTTCCCTACTTTATGTTTTAAGACTATAGTTACTATAGTTACTTGGACATTCACTGTTCACGAACACTGAGTAGTGAGTAATAATCACAGAATATTCTGTGGAATTATTGTATAATAAATAATTATTGCCCATGTTCATATTCAGGGATGTATCAGTAAATCATGTTTTGACTTTTGAGCACGAATTAATATTCCATTATCTTAATTCGTTGTTTTGAGTATGCGCCTATATAATTTTATTGTTGTGATAGAAAATAAGAGTTGCTTACTTGCTTACTCTATTATTTTTTTTTATAGTTCTCAACCAACACGTCATTTACAACACAAACAAACACAAACTATTCATACTTGTCTTATAATAAAAATATATTTTTATCCACTGAAAATATTATTAGCAGTCGATCTATTTCATAATATACCTGATGACCTATGATCTATTTACACATCAGATATATTGATGATTACTCTGTATGGTTCTCAAGCGGTGAGGTTGTCTGGTTGTGTTGTGGCGAGTCACCATAAGACCATATTTACCGTTCAGGAAAACTGCTGATTTGTTCTAAAACCCGCAATACTTTATGAAAAATTAGGAAACTTTGTACTCTACATAAATTGTGCCGTATTTAAATGTCGTGAAAATGTCAAGTTCCTACCTCGAAAACCCATGCAGTTATAAAGCAGTTCAGTATAATTTATTCACATAATCAAATCAGTAAAATCACCCTCCGCCGTTCAGAAAAACTGCTGAATTGCTCTAAGATCTGCAATACTTTATAAAAAATTTTGGATTTTTTTACTTGTTATAAGTTGTACCATATTTAAATACATTGAAAATTTCAAATACCTACCTCGAAAACCCCTGCTGTGTAAAAAATTTCATAATTTTTTATAAAGTATTGTGAGTTTTAGAGCAAATCAGCAGTTTTCCTGAATGGCCGCTCGTGATTTTACTGATTTGATTATGTGAATAAAATTCAATAAATTACTGATCTGCATTATAACTGCATGCTTTTTCGAGGTAGGCACTTTAAATTTCCAAGGTATTTAAATATGGTACAACCCATAACGTGTAAAAAATTTCATAATTTTTGTTTAAGTTTTTAGGTCTATGATATTAATTAACCCTGAGGTAAAAATCGATGGGGCAACCTGGACTTTGGTAGGGGGTTGTATGGGGGTATTATAAAGGCACTTGTGGAGTTTGAACTCATTCGGACTTTGTTTGCAAATGCTACGGCCGCTATGGCCCCAAATCAGTAAATCAGCAGATCAGTAAAATAGATCGACCCCTTAAGAAATTAATAATTTTTGACATACACATATCTTGACAAAATATATTGTTATTAGTATTTATACATCACAAGTCACAACATGACAAATAGATTGTTTGTTACGTTTAACAATTTTAGTGATAATATTCTGGAATAATTGGCAAATGGCATTGGATAAAAATCCGTAGGTCATGACAAAACTACTGTAATCGATCAATTTTAGTTTTATTGTAGTTTATCTGCAATACCTACATTCACACATCCAAATCATGTCTCCGTAACTATATCTCTTGCAGTATGGAAATTTAGTATTGACTTAGTTCATCATAGTGTGTGTAATTTCAGTGTGAGACCTTTCTCTATTCGTTATCCATGACTGTAGAATGTTAAACGTCAAAGCCTAGGGCTCTGAACCTAAAAACACTCATGGCTGAATAAACATAATTTAAGGTATGTGAAAAAAAATATTTACTAGGACGGGCCTTTTAGCTATAATAATAAATATATTGTACAGTATAAATGATTCTTGCTGGAAGTACCTATATTGCAACTCTAAAAAAAATTTTGTTTTCCACTTAGTACAGCCATGCTAATTCTACTGCGACATTAAAAGTTACAATTGTTAGTAATGTTTAACACTGGTAGGTAATTACTAAATTTATATTCCAATTTGGCAACATAAGCAGTCTATATTCTTACACAAAAAATATAATGAAAATAGTGTTAGTATAAAAAATAATAATTGTTAAGAAGGTCATTCAATGTTAGAGGCCTGCAACTTTAATTTATGATCAAAACAGAAGTTTTTATATTTCATGGATATTATATTAAGTAACTTACAAATAGCCACTTTTTTACATTTTTGATATTATAACTGTAACTTATTAGAAAGTTTGATAAATTTGCCCAGACTAACCCACTAATTTATCAATGTTTAGAATGTTTGGACTCAAGTGTAGACTAGAATAAGAACTAGTAACAGACAGAAATAAAATTATAAAAATAAATAAAATGTGCCAGGTTCATATTGATTTTGTGGAACATAAATATTAGGTAGTAATATTACCTACTTTTACACAGAATAAATGGAACATAAGTGCATAAAATTAGAACTAGGGCTATAACTACAGCTTATGTTCAGTTTGATGTATTGATGATTGTTTATTACAAATATAAATAATTTAGAAAATGTTTACAATATAAACTTAAAAGATATTAAATTTGTTTAGCTTACGTATTATAATTGAGCAATGTAAAATATATATAAGAAAATATGTTTTACTAAATTAATGGTGGAACAAACGCAAATTAGTATGAGCCAACACAACGTTTTGTTCATTGCAGTAATTGATTACTTCTTGGTCATTTGTTGAACCAGATGGGCAAGCTATGTATTCAACTCCGCTCTAAATACAAGTTATAAAATAATAATATTGATATTATAATTTAACGAGAATGTTTCCAACTATTTATTAAATATACCTGGACAGCTCTTTCGATGTTATCACTGAATGGGAAAAACGCATCTGATGACAATACAACTCCTTTCAAATTAGCAGACCAGGCAAGTCTCTCTTCGGGGGTTAACTCGGCAGGAATTACATCAAACAAACTTTCCCATCTAGTGCGTGAAAGACCGTTTCCAATGGTTTTACCAATGTAATCATCAATGGCATTTGCTATCTGAGCTCTTTTGACTGATTTTTTAAATTTCATATTTAAAACATACGGATGTTGCCTCAACCACCTACAAACAGACAAACCAAAATATTATTCAATTCAAATAAACTGCAATGCAATTTTGCTTACCAATTATCAGCTTTATCCCCAGCTAGTCTAGTGCAGTGAATTCTTGATTGTTGTCCAGCTCCAATTCCAATGGCTTGACCATTCAAAGCGTAACACACTGAATTACTTTGGGTGTACTTCAATGTTACTGTAGCAAGAATCAAATCACGTTTAGCTGCTTCTGTCATCTAGACCAAAATAAATATGTAATTTATATTCAAACAATATTCAATAATACATTTTAGTAAAATAAAGATAATCTTACATCTTGTCTTTTAGTTACAATATTGGTAAAAAGATTTTCATCGATTTTTCCATCATTACGTTTCTGTTCTAAGGTCATTCCAAACAAAACTTTACGCTCAACAGTCTTAGGTGTATAATTTGAATCAATTTGTAGTACACAGTAATTTCCATTTTTTTTTTTTTTGAGCAAATTTAAAGCTTCATCACTATATCCAGGTGCAATTACACCATCAGAAACCTACAAAAAAAACATTAAAATGCAATCATAAATGTAACAGTTACTGTATTATTATATATAGTAACTTACTTCTCTGGAAATAATTTTAGCAGTAACTAAATCACAAGAATGTGATAAAGCAACAAAATCTCCATATGAAGACATGCGATCAGCTCCTCTGGCACGAGCATAAGCAGATCCAAGTGGAGTCATAATTTCAAGTAAATCACTTACCATACATAATGAAGCCTATGAAGAAAGTTTTCTTAATAGGTAAATCAGAAATTAATTTAATTTAAGTCAAATAATTATTTTACTTCAATTTCATTTAATGGTATGCCCAAACCAGCTCCAGCAGGACTGACGTGCTTAAAAGATGTAGCAGCTGGAAGACCAGTTACCTCTTTAAGTTCTTTAACCAATTGCCAGCTATTAAAAGCATCACATAAATTGATGTACCCCGGTGAACCATTAATTACTAAAAAAATTGAACAATAATATATCAATTATTACATTTCTAAATGCCATGGTTAAAGTTTATAATATCAAACAACATATTATTATATTATTACAAATTGTACATTATATTATGTTTAAAATATCTAAAAAGTAATTTAAAAAAAACTGATTTAGAACCTATACTTTTTATTACTATTATTATTTTTTATACATAAATCATTAATGTAATATTGTGTTTTAAATCTAATTATTAAAGTAAATAAAAATTACATGTTTCAAGATTGAACTTTAAAAAAATATGTAAATAATTATACAATTATAGTTAATATACCAATCATAAATGTCTACCAAGAAGCATTACAACTTAATTAATGTCATGGATGAATTTTACAGAATCAAATGAAACACATACCAATAGGCTTTAATAAACTTAAATAGGTACCTAAGTAACATTTATACTTTATAGATATTGAAAATATACTAACTAACCATATTTATAACCTCATTTATTACCAAATTTAAATTAATACTTATTTTACATGGGCTACATTTCCTACATTACCTTTTAATGGTAGTTTTAAATCTGTAGTGAAAAGTTGTGCTGGACATTGGTGAGGATTCATGCCATACCTTAAATTCATTTGACTCTCACCGCCAGCAAATTTCTTGCGAAAATAATCTGATATACAATCATCATAAGTCGCTGTATGCGTAAATGCCTTTAACGCTAATTTTTTCCGGGTTTCTAGAAGCGTATCTTTGTTCAATGATATTTCGTTGGATATTACCAAATAGTCTGCAGGATCACAAAGTACTGTAACACGTTCATGATTTTTGGCAGCAGCTCTCAATAGTGTTACACCACCAATATCAATATTTTCAACAGCATCTTCAACGTTAGTATCGGATTTGGCTACAACCTTTTCAAATGGATATAGGTTACATACTACTACTTTTATTAGGCTGTAGTTGTTCTTCTTTAAATCGTTCTGGTCAGCAGGTATTAAACGCGCTAATATACCTAAAATAGAAGTGAGATTCATAATTTAATTTTTAGTTAATATTATGTATGTGACAAATTACACATTTTATAGTAGGTATTATAATTATAATTTGTATGTATAAAGGCTACCTCCATGAATTGCTGGGTGTAAAGTTTTCACTCGGCCCCCAAGTATTTCTGGTGCTCCAGTGAATTCGGAAACGCAAGTAACTGGTAATTTTGCATCATTCTTTATATAAGAAGCAGTTCCTCCACTTGCTAACAACTTGAAACCAGCTTCTACCAAGCTTTTCGCTAGCTCTAATAATCCAGTTTTATCCGATACACTAATTAGAGCTAAAAAAAAACAAAATGTTAAATAAATAATTTTGTTGAAAAAATATAATATAGGTAATTATAATAGGACAATTTATTTTGTTTTTGCATAATAAAGAAATTTCTAGTATCTATAATGAAAAATGAAAAATGAAAAAATAATCTATTATACTTCCATGCAATTACATTTAGGTAGGCACCAGTTAGTTAGTTAAATTCTAAATATATTGAAGTTACTTGTTAGTGTTATGCTAGAAATACGCTAGGCTAAACCGGTTTAAAATTATCCCATATTATCCCACACCGGTTCGAAACATCCTAGTGCGTGTTTTCACACCGGTAAAGCTTAACAAATTTCTAGACGGTTACCTAATTATGATTTATATTAAAAAAAAAATGATTTAAATGAGTCAATATACGAAATTTACAATTTCATTATTAAAGTTTAGTTACCCAAATTGTCAGTAGTCGCCATTGTTTCGCAATCTATTTATTACAAAAAAAATTAAAGTTGAAATTATTCAAAAGTTCCGGCAATGAAATTTTTAGATTAGTAAAGTTAGTGAAGAAACACGTGTTGATTATTCCCTGAAATTGGCTCTGTGCCTAGTCTCGCCTCTGCCTATAGCCTGGTACTTGGTAGGAGGTAGCAACTAGCAATAGCCTGGAGCTGATTTATTATATTATCATTTATCATCGTTCATTTATCAGTGAAATACTGTTCCACGTTCACCGGTTGATAACCCCGAGAAAATTAGTCAAGAAATCAAGACGTGACCATCGTGTACTCACCACGAAATACTATAATATTATCTTAATTCGTGGTACCCACTGACCACTACCTATAATCACCATAAATGATATTAATTCCACAGACATATTAATATTTTATATGTTTTGTATGTCTAAATGATTAATTCTGAAAAATTATTTCACAATCTATTCTTTGATTACAAAACCGTTTAATGTTTATTAAAATTATTAATTGGTTTATTTTATATTAAAAAACTATAGATAGAGTAATCATGTAATTACTCAATGTAAAATAGTTACCTACTACTATATGTCGTTTTTGTTTATAATCACCAAACTATTCTTATATAATATATATTATTATTATACATCCAACATAGATGAATGTTTTCATATAAGATCGTTTTTTATGACTTTTTAGTAATCTTAGATGAAAATTAGTAATCACCTACGACAAAAATTATAGAAAATAATATTTTCGAGGGTTTAACAAACTTATCGGTTTTATATTTTATTATTATTTAACTTTGTATTCAGCTTTCAAAATAAAAAAAAGGTGGGTAAGTAGATGTCGCTCTGCTGTACAGTAGGTTACAAGTGGGTCACTGTATAATTGATGCTATTAAATTTGAATTCAATGATACAATATCATTGTATAAGAAAAACGATTCTGAGCGAAGACGGTATGACAGTCTAGGTTAAGACAAATTATATACATATCTATGGTATTAAAAAAAAATTGACCTATAATAAATTCCAAATTAATCATATCACATTATCACAATATCCATTAGGTACTTATAACACGTTATACACTAACAACAAACCCTGATACTATCATATATATATAATAGTACACTTTAGAAGTTTCAAGTAGGTACCCACGAATAATATTATATAATCACAACAAAATAACTAGGTTTTTTAATATGTAATTTCGTCCAAATTTGAACATAAAATGACTATAAAAATAAACTGTAATTGTATATTTTTTAGATTTTTCGGTAAGAGAATTAACTACTTACGTGGAATCTTGTTTTAAATTTTCAATCCTTAGCTATAAAAACTGAACATTTTATAATTTATTAATTACGATGATTAATAATTTTCGAGATTTTGAAAAATTCTGTCAAAATTCGATGTTAAAATGCTTATAAAAAAAAATTGTGCCTATGTATTTTTAATATTTTTCAACTGATATTGTAACAATATATCAGGAGCCTTGTATTAAATTTTTACACTTTTTGGCCCAACAGATAAAGCTTAATTGATATTTATAGAAAAAAAAAACCAAAAAAATTGAAAACTGAAAATGTCCGTAAACGGCTCAAAAAGAGTCAAAATATTTTCAAAATTGTATGGTGTATAGGAAATGCTAATATAAACATTCAGTGAAATTTTCATGTATCTACAGTAATTCGTTTTTTAATTACAACAAAAAAAGGAAATTGCCACATGAGAAATCGAGTGAATATCCAATGTTGTAAAAATTTGAATTTCAAACGCTCATAAAAATTTAATTTGACTTTCCTGTAGAGATTTTTTTATTGATAAAGGTAGACAATCTTATGAGTAATCTTGTATTAGATTTTCAAATCTTAGATTTAAAAAGAAAAATTTTTACGAATTCTTAACTCAAAATAATTTGCTAATTTTCGTGATTTTTCCATATTTTGTCAATTTTTGAACTTTAAATGCTTATAAAAAAAAATTGTGACTAAGGATTTTTAATATTTTTCATCTGCCTTTGAAACAATATATTAGGAACCTTCTATTAAATTTTCAAGCTTTCGCAACCAACAAATAAAATTTTATTGATATTTCTAGAAAAAAAACTAAAAATGAAAATGTCCCTAAACTGTTCAAAATAAATCAAAATATTTTGAAAATGTTATCGTGTATAGAAGATGCAAATATAAACAACCAGTGAAAATTGCATGTGCCTACGGTCATTTGTTTTAAAGTTACACCAAAAACCAAATTCAATTTTCTGAAAAATCGATTTTGCGTAAAAATTCCCGTTTTTCCTTAATTTTTCTTTTGTTTTTCCCGGCGCTCTTGAAAACTACTGGGAAATTTAAATTTTGACCTCCCCAATGCACCAACGATATTCACTTTCCAATCGAACAAGATACTGAAGTCGAAAATCGAAGCATTATTTCGACTACTTATCGTGTACACAGACACAAAAAAAATAAATATAAAAATAAAAAAATAAATAAAAAAATAAAAAAAAAAACACACATCATTGTAAAATCAATACATTCATCGTTTCACTCAGAATCTAAAAAAAATTTAAATTTAAATTATGTTTAAATTATTTTGAGACAATACTTACACAAATCGATATGTTATACATTCAAAAATATTATTCTCTATCAAGTGATTTTACTCTAAGATTACTAAAAACAAAAAAATAAATATTCTGCGTAAATTAGGTTGGTCTATGTTGCTCATTAGCCAGAGCCCAAAGACAGAATAAACGAACAATGCGCTGACATCCTCTTAAGGAAATTGATATAATAAAACTATGAAATAGATGTAATATTTAATTACACTATTACAATTACATTCAGATAATTTTTACAAAATATGAAAATATGTTCATCGATTGGTCCAAACCTAGACATTAATATGTCTATGGTCCAAACCTATTATATGGTGGTCGGTGGACCTATTATTATCTTTAGTACACAAATCATCTACCTACCTATTACCATTTATTAAATATACTTATATACTTAACAATCTTTCGGAAAAAAAGTGTCATTCTCATTTGAAAAAAGTTGTTGTCACCGCAGCTCACAGGACATTTAAATTTTAAAGTAGGTATTTTAAAATAAGGTCAGGTACCTATATGGTAAGCGGAAAAAAATCCCAAGGAAATAAATCTTACGGTTAAAAAAATCCACTGAAAAAATTTTAATATAAATATGAACTCATGTATAGGTATGCACAAAAATATTTAAATATATGTAATATATTTCAATATATATAATATAGGTTAGTTATATTAGATTAGCGATAACATATTAAAATTTACAATATTATTATCACACAAATTATGTAATAACAATTCACAAAACACAGTGTTATTTGTAACAAATATACAATTATTACAATTAAGATTTAATTTTAATATGAGAAATATCAGGCATGGATTCATAATATGGCGCGCGGGGCATCTGTTCTCTATTATTCTATGCAGGGTGGGCTTTGGGCAAGATTCTCAAAAAGGAGTAGGTATCTTCGTATCGAGATACAAGATACCTAGTCACCTAGATACTTGGCTTTGAAGTATCTCGATACTAGATACTCGGTACTTGGCTTTGGAATATCGCAATACTAGATATAGGTACTCGATACATTTTAAAAAAATAAGTCACTGGATTTTTAAAAATTATGTTTATTATTGTGGGGATGATCACTTCTATAAGTAATTTGAATTTCGATTATTATAATTATAATTAAAACAATAAAAATTGACACTTATTCAGTAGGTACCTATAATAATAATACATTAGTCATATAAAACAAATCAATTACGACATTACGTAATCTTGTTATCGTCAACGATGCAACCAAAAATAACCACAATTACATAAAAATTAAATAATTATAATTATATCAATAATAATTATCTACATTAAAAATTATATTTTCATAGTATTTATTTACCTGGTAAAATCAAAATTGTATCTTGTATCGCATCATAAATTATTTTATAAAATACTCGATACATTGACTAAAAAATAAAAATGTATCATGATACAAATTACAAGATACTCGATACTTCAAATACTTGTATAGTTGTATCCAGATATAATATATTAAGATACAAGATATAAGTTTGTATCGAAGATACTGCCCAATCCTGAGCCTATGACGCTATTATCTTACACAATATGATATAACAATGTTAGTTGTTACATACTTATATCACGATCCACACGATCAGTGCTTCGAAATTGGAAGGAACGCGTTCAAAAGATCTAGTTCCACCGATTAGTGATTTCGTTCAATATTCAGGGACAGTGTTGAATCCAAAACATTTTTCTGGGGGGGGGGGGGGTTCACTTTTTTTTCATTGGTGAAAGGTGATACGTCATTTTAGTATTATGAATTATATCTATTAATAGGTAGTTATTCTTATTACAATTTATAATTTAGACATTTCAAGTTTAGATAAAACTACAAACAAATTAAAAACAAATTATTTTATTTTAATTTTTAAATCAATCTAAGGTTGTCACACATTATAAATCGTATTATCTATTATTATTATTTATTGAAATTCAGAAATTATAAATATTCAAAAAGTTATAAAACAAATTACAAATTTTTAAATTTTTAAATCAATCCAAAGTTAATTTAAGGTCGTCACATATTATAAATTGTATTATTATAATTTATTACAATTCAGAAATTATAAATATTGAAAAAATTACAAAATAAATTAGAAACCTATTAGGTAATTATTTATTTTTAAATTAATTTTATGCGACGAGTTTTTTTTCTTGCATATAAATCAATTGTTTCTTCAATTATTTTTCGTTGTCTTATAACTGCTATAATTTTGGGAAAGTCAGGAGATAGTCCTATATTGGCAATACGGTATAAAAACATTGATATAAATAAATTATATTTTATTGAACGCCATTAGGTGCGGTAATCGTAACGAGTATTGTGCATTTAATAAATAGGTACATTTTGTTGAAAGTC